ATGAGTCTTTTTGTATGTTTTATTTAGTGTTTTTTGAGATTATATTGGTAAAATTTGGCAAACTTGATGTTTGGAATTCGTAAAGGTTTAAGATAATTTCATTATTGGTTTTTTTTGGTCCATTTGAGCGTCTATTGGCTACTGGCAGAGACAATGGCCTTTTTCTCTGTCTCGATTACCAATTAATAGTGCAGATCTGAGCTCAAATGAAAACTTCGATCTTTAATTTTCATTTCTCTTTTAGTTCTTAATTACTAATAATCGATCTCTTTTGTATGTTTTACAGGTTAAAAAGCATTATAGCATTCTATAAATATCAAATCGTAGAGGATTCAACCCTCAAAGGAAGTATAACACCCAAAGTTACCTGGATCTTCATATATGCCTTTTCTCTTACCTCGGAGGGGCTTTTTTTTGTTGGAAAAATATATTCTATACGATTGTAAAATCGTAATTTGTCTTCCGGCTGTGCATCATGTTTACACAATGGTTGTTCAACGCACAGCCGGATGATAGAATTGCGACTTTTCCAAACGTGTAGAATTTATTTTTGCTAACGAAATAAATAAATGACAAAAGTGATAATTAGATATATGTGGAGGATATTTTTTGTAATTTTCTCGATCTGATTACCATCTATAAACACCAAATCCTACAGGATAAAACCCCCAAAGAGTGAATGTAGGATAGCTGGATCATCAAGATCCTTTTCACCTATGTTGGACAGGCTTTCCAAATCATCGAAAATATTACCGAAGTCGTCACTGGCATTAAAGGTGGTCTTAGTTAGAGTACTTAGAGCTGTTGAGCTGCCAAAGTTATCCAGATTTTCGTCCACCGACAAAGGTTTGTATCTCGTTCACCCATTTGGGTCTATAATTGCTGGCAACTCTGCCAACAAATGAGGTTGTGTATGATCACTTGCATGCTCCAAAGAAGTATCTGCAGCCTGTTGATTATGGTTTGTACTTGGAATGATGGCTGAGTTCATTGTTGTGACTTGCGGCTTCATTTCCAGACACCAAATGACCAGAATCAGAGAAGTGTAGAAAGTTAATGTTTTCGAAAAAAAATGTAATAAAATCAGAATATTCTTCTTTTTGTATAATTCCTGGTGAGATTCATTCACTGTTGTGTATTTTGAATGTTCACTAAAGATAAACTACACAGTACATCCATATAAAGAGAATTTCTTAAGAAAGTTCGAAAAGAGCTCCCCTTTTATATTGAGAAAATTGCATCAAAATAAAACCCAACTAGAGAATATAAGGGTTTATGTGTTTGCTCTTTCAATCACAATTTTATAACAATGCAAATTATAATTAAAAAATTCCTCATACAAATATTGCATTAAGTAAAACATATTTATTTTTCATTTAAAGAATAGCATACTATTGTTTGACTTCTTCATGGGTTGTGATCCCTTATGCTTCTACTGAGGACTAATTTGAAAGAAAGTCCCAACATCTAATTAGAGTTCAAAAATTTTATATCAATAAGTGTATGGATGCAACACCATATAATGAAGAGTAATTAAGGATAGAATCTATCGACATGCTTCCACAACATAGAAATATTAGGACTAAAAAACACACAATGTTTCAATTGCAAGAGAAATCTAAATCAATATCCTTGTAGCTGAATTAGTTAATCATTTTATTCAGTTTTGGCCATGGTTTGCAATTGTGCCGAGGATCATAGATACTTTCAAGCCCAATAGCATTGGCTTGAAGGATCATCCAACTCATTAGAGCCCACTTAACTTCGGTCATATCGAAATCATTAGATTATTAGGGTTTTTTTGCCCTTCATTTTGTGTATAAATAACTCTTTGACCAATTTTTGTATCTCATTTTTGTGGTACCCTTGTTCTCTTCGCTTCTTGTTCCTCTTAGTGTTTTTTGAAATTCGGGTGAGATTTTTATGTTAGTTTCAACCATAATTTTTTTCTAATGAATCTTTTTGTATATTTTATTGAGTGTTTTGTAAGATTCTATAGGTGAAACTTTGGCAAACTTGATGTTTGGAATTCATAAGGGTTTAAGAAAATTTCATGGTTGGTTTTTTTGGTCCATTTGGGTGTCTATTGGCTACTGCCAGAGACAGTGGCCTTTTTCTTGGTTTGATTACATATTAATAGTGCGGATTTGAGCTCAAAAGGAAGGCTTCGATCTTTAATTTTCATTTCTATTTTAGTTCTTAATTACTAATAATTCATCTTTTGTGTATGTTTTACAGGTTAAAAAACATTATTGCATCCCATAAATATCAAATAATAGAGGATTCAACCCCAAATGTAATATAACTCCCAAAGTTACCTGGATCTTTAGATCCGGCTTTTCTCCTAACTTAGAGAGGCTTTTTTCGCTTGCAAAATATATCACATACGATTGTAAAAATTGTAATTTCTATCCTCCAGCTGCGCATCATGTTCCACAACAGCTATTTTACGTGCAGCTGGAGGATAGAAATTGCTACTTTTGCAAACGTGTAGAATTTATATTTTTCAGCGAGATAAATAAAGAACAGAAGTGATAATTTAGTATATGTGGAAGATATTTTTTGCAATTTTCTCGAACTGATTACCATCTATAAACACCAAATCCTACAGCCCCAATGAGTGAATAAACCATACCTGGATCATCAAGATCCTTTTCACCTATGTTAGAGATTTTCCAATTCATCGAAAATGTTTCCGAAGTCCTCACTGGTTGTGCCTACATTAGGGGTTAGTTGCATCTGTTGAGCTGCCAAAGTTATCTGGATAGTCGTCTATCGACAAAGGTTTGCAATTACTTCGCCCATCAACCAATTCAGGCCACTGAATTATGGGGTCTATAATTACTGGCAACAAATGAGGTTGTGTATAATTACTTGAAATGATCGTTGAGTTCATTGTTGTGACTTGAGCTTCATTTCCAGACACCAAATGACCAGAATCAGAGAAGTTTAGAAAGCTAAGGTTTTTCGGAAAAATGTAATAAAATAATAATAATTTTCTTTTAGTATAATGGTTGATGAGATTCTTTCACTATTCTTTCTTTTTAATGTTCACTATAGATAAACTACATATTACATCCATATAAAGAGAATTTTTTAATAAAATCCCAAAAGAACTCCCCTTTTATAGCGAGGAAATTGCATCAAAATAAAACCCAAGTATAGAATATAGTGTTTGCTCTTTCAATCACAATATTTTTAACTATGCAAATTACAATTAAAAAATTGCATTCAGTAAAACTTATTTTTTTCATTTAAAGAATAGCATATTATTTTTTACTTCTTTATTGGTGTGCTTCCTTTTGCTTTTATTGAGGCCTAATTTGAAAAAATGTCCCAACATCTAATTAGAGTTCAAAAATTTTATAACAATAAGTGTATAGATGCAAGACCATACTGTGAAGACTAATTAAGGAAAGAAACTACGGACATGCTTCCACGACATAGAAATATTAGGACTAAAAAACACACGAGGTTTCAATTGCAAAAATAAATCTAAACCAATATCCTTATAGCTGAATTAGTTAATCATGCTATTCAGTTTCGGCCCATGGTTTGTATTTGTGCCAAGGATCATAGATACTTTCAAGCCCAATAGCATTGGCTTGAAGGATCGCCCAGCCCATTAGACCACTTAACTCTTGGATGAATCTAAGTCATTGGATTATTAGGGTTTTACTTGTGGTCCTTCATTTTGTTTTTAAATAATTCTTTGGCCAACTTTTGTATCTCATTTTTTTGATATCATTTTTCTCTTCCCGTCTCATTGATTTTGGTGTTCTTTGTGATTCAGGTGAGATTTTTTTGTTAGTTTCAACCATATTTTTTGTCAAATGGGTCTTTTTGTGTGTTTCTTTTGAGTGTTTTGTGTGAAATTCTTTTGGTGAAACTTTGGCAACCTTGATGTTTGGGATTGGAGAGGGTTTAAACTAATTTCATGATCAATTTTTTTGGTCTGTTTGGGCGTCTATTGGCTACTTCCGAAGCCAGTGGCCTCTTTCTCGATCATGATTACCAATTAATGGTGCGGATCTGAGCTCAAAAGAAAGCCTCCGATCTTTGATTTTTATTTCTATTTTAGTTCTTCATTACTAATAATTAATCTCTTGTGTATGTTTTACATGTTCAAAAGCACCATAGCAACATATTGATCTGTCCATAAATATCAAACCCTAGAGGATATAAGGCAGCATAACCCCTAAAGTTAATTACCTGGCTCATCATATCCTTTTCTCCTACCTTAGAAAGGCTTTCCATATCATCGGAAAAGCTTCTAAATCCTTCAATAGGCTAGGCTTCCATGAAGGGTTTTACGTGAAGGAATGCGAACCAGCAGCCGAAGTCATCCAGATTGTCGTCGATCTATCTTGTCCCGAGTGAGTATGCAAATCTTCAATATACATATATATATATATATATGCTTAGTCTTCACATATATTTGATACATGCTGACTTTTTTGTAAAAAAAATAAATAAAAACTTTGAAGTTAAGTGTGTTAGTAGTACAAGAATGGGTGATAATTCCACGAAAAATCTTCTGCACTGAAAAAAAAAAAAAAAAAAAAAAAAAAAAAAAAAAAAAAAAGAAAGAAACTAGTCAACAAGCTGAAAGATTCAAGTGTCACTTCCAAGTATCATTTTAAGCTTCTTTCTAATTTTCTGACTTTGTAATTGCATAGAGTCTCAATTTCATCTACTTATTATTTATTAATATTATTCAACTTGCCACAATTCTTTTTGCATTTGAGGTAACATTGTACAGAAGCTTTGCTAATTAACAAAAAGGTTTTACCTCCAAAATTATTTTTCATAGCTAAACCAGTTGGCAAAAAAAAATCATACATATTTTGTTGCTAAAAATTTTAATTTTATAGCAAAATAGTTTTAGCTACGAAATTAAATTTTCGTACCTATATTTTTTTTTTAAACTTTCATTAAAAATAACTTATTTTTTATTACGAAAGTCATATTTGTCACCAAAGATTTTTACTAATGCCATATAGGCAATGAAAGCAAAAATATTTTTGGTATGAATTCATACCTTTTTGTTACGAATTTTTTTTGTAGTTACATTTCAATATTGTGTAGTGGTACAATTCCAGTAACATGGCTAGAATTATCCACTAATGACCATAAAACACACAATAAAAACAAAAATTATCATCATCCACTAATGACTCATTAGATACACAATAAATAAATAAAATTATTAGATTTTCAGTTGGGTGCAAATATGAATCAATCTCCAATACATTAGCCCTAAAGTGGATCAAGATTCAATATAATCAACTCATCACACAATTGAGCAATGTTTTTTTTATGAAAACACAATTGATTTGAACCATGTAAAGGCTAATTCTATCCATCATTCATCATCACCATTCTTGTTCTTAAAAAACCAACAACACCCAAGAAAGTAGCCAAAGTTAAGGACACCAATCACCACTAGCATCCAATACACATTGTCGACTCTTCCCTCATCGATATCGTCAGGCAGCCAAGCTGTCGCCCTTCTGACAAGATCGACAAGCGCCGTGCTCAAGTAAAACCCAATCCCAATGAGCATTGATATCATCGCCGTCGACATGCTCTTCAGACTACTCGGAAACTCCTGGTAATAAAATCTCACTTGTCCCGGAAAATGGCATGCCTCCCCACTCCCCACAATAGCCATTTGTGGCACAAGCCAAAGAACTGAAATCGGGGATTGGGCTCGGCGTCGTTTAGACTCAACAAGAGCTGACACAGCCATGCTGCCGATGGTTAGCGCATGGCCGAGGCCTAATTGCTGCAGAGATGTCACTTGTTTTCCGGTAACCCTTTTCCAAAGCGGCCAAAGGCAATGCCCAAATAGGCCGAGGCATACGACTGTCGCCAGGAATGTGAAGATGATCATGGACCCTGCTGGGAATTGAAAATGCCGGCCCGGCCCGAGGTGGCGATCGGTGGCTAAAGCTTGGAGAACAGTCAGGCTGACCTGGATGCCGATGGGAGTCGAAAGGAAGATGCTGGATGACCATAAGGGCAGGATTCTGATTAGGGTTTTGAGGTCTTCCACTTGCTGCATTGTGCATAATTTCCAGGGCTTGGCTATGGAGCCATCCATGGCAATGTCCCCTTCGGTTATGATGGCAGCACGGTTCAGTAACCTAAAGTAGAATACATATTATTTTTTTTTTAAAAAAAAAATGACATTATAATTTTATTTATAACCCAAAATGTCAAATTGAAAATTAATTCAATTTCAATATTTAGGCTCTGTTTTGATATATTTTGAAACGTAACTTTTGGAACTATTAAAAAAAATAAAAATAAAAAATAAATATCTTTCTAAACTATTTCATAACGGATACTTTTCATTTAACATAATATATGAAGAATTTATTTTATATACAAAATATTACATTTAAGTGTCGTGGATCCATCCACGCAGAATGAACAATATATTGCCAATGTTTTCAAGGGCATGTTGAATTATTTTTTATTTTTTATTTTTTAAAGAAAAGTCATTAATACTCATTTTATGTAAGTATTATATATTTAAGTATATTATTTATTTAAAAATATTCAAAATACCAACAACATTATTCCTTTAAAAAATAATAAAATAATATTATAACTTATTATTAATAACTTATTAATTTATATTACCTAAAATTCGGTGTCCTTAATTAAATCGGTCATCTTCACCAGGAGAGAGGGGGTATATCTAATACTACTTTTCATTGAATTTTTCACTAAAATAATGCAAAATTATTAAAATACTTTCAATACATATTTAAATACAACTACGTTTTAATATTGATTGGGAATTTCTAATCCACATTTTGTACATGGCATAGATGCTTAGTCAAGAATCTTTTTTATATATAGTTCTGCAAAGTGAATTGTAATAAATTATTTCTAACTTAACTTCAAATCAAAGATACTCTTTACTAAAATCATCTTTGGGAAAAGATATTCCACTTAAATATATTTTTTATATTATCAGACCAAGTTGATGAGGGATTCATGGCATCCACATTTTCCCTTATATAAAATATATTAATACATCATTTATTTCATTTTACTTAATAATAAATTAGACCAAATGGATGATTTAATTATCAGTATCATATTTTGAAAAGAGTGAAATGTGATTGTTTAAATAAAAATTAAGTTTTCAATATCATATTTTCAAAGATAAAAAACATAACTATTAAATATAATATTGGAACTGGTGCGGAAATTTAAAAAATAATAATTTATTGAAAAAAATAAAAAGAATAAAAAAAATAGTTAGAAGTATTTTTGAAAGTTTAATTAGTAATTAAAGATAATGAAAAGATTGTGTAATAAAGGTGCCGACAATTATAATAAATAATAAAGAATAATAGTTAAATATCGAATCTTTTATTTTATTAAAATTAGTAATAGATAAATTTAATGGATTAACCAAAAAGAAAAATGGAAGTAAATTGAGGTAGGAATAAGTTATTTAATTGCATGCTTTATGTTATTGCATGGAATAAATTTTCTATCTTAATTTAATTGCATGCTTTATGTATTATTAACTACATTTCTATGGGTTTTATGCAAAACTTTAACTAACATTACACCTAATTATACAATAAAATGTAAGTGATACTTAAATAAATATATGTATGAAAATTTGTGTGATTAATATATGAAAATTAATATTTTATTTTGAATTTTTTAATTTTTGTGAGTGGAAAAAATATATGTTATATTTATTGTGTTAATGTATATTATATTATTTTAATACTCCCTCCGACGTCATCGAATTTTATTCTTATTTGATCCGGCATGAATTTTAAGAAAAAAATTTTATAATAAAAGAAATAAAAAGAATTGTATTTTTTACTAAAAAGAAAAATTAAAATATATTTAGATGACAACTAAAAAATAAAAATAAAAATAAATTTGGATGATAGAGTAACTAATATTTATGAAAAATTGTGCAACCAAAAATACTAAGTGAACAAATAATAATCTACTCTATATTCGGAAAACTAAAATAGGAAACTTACCTTAAGCTACTTATCGCGGCTTTCTCCACACCTTTCTCGCCATAATAATAATCCACAGTACTAGAAGAACTATTCAATTTCCTTTTCCGGAAAGTCGCCACAACCACGCGGGCGAGGCTGGCAAACGGGCTGCCATGTGGCCGATCATGCCGGTAATATCTTTTCCCGGCCAAAAATGACACCAATCCAATGACATTAGCAGAAGCACAAATGGCGTAGCCGGCGAACCAGCTGACATTATCTTCGACATACACAATGGCCGTGGCAGATGCAAATAATGCGCCGTATAAGGCGATGAAATACCAATTGAAGTAAGTCGACTGGTGGTCGGGTCTGGCGAACTGGTTCGCACCCATAGTCCCTAGGGTGAACCGTGTTGCGCCTGCCCCAATGGAAACTAGAGCCAATGCTGTGTAAAGCACGGCGTACTGAAGTCCTGATGGGCAGGCGCAAGAACTCGACTCTGATTTGCAATCCGGCGGTCTTAAGCCGGATATAGTTACCGTTAGCACCAAGAGGATTAGCCCCTGTTGGAAAAATTAGTTGAGGTTGAACGCCCACAGAGTAATCTTACGGCGGTCGTCTAAGGCTGAGTAAAAATTATAATATGCGACAAAGCCATAGTTACGAAAAAATTCCTCCGGCGACCTTATTTTGGACATTTTTTTTTATATAAATATTTTGAAAACTGATTTGGAAAGTTGGAAATAAATGATCGGTCTCCAAAAGTATGATACAATTTGGGTTCTATGCCCACGCACTTCACCGTTGGACTTGTTCGGATGTGGCCTTAAATATTCCAAGCCTTCTTTCTTTTGCTTCGAAAAATCTGAGACTCTTTAAATAGTCTCAAAATTTCTAATGCTATTGAATGAAATGATTTTTTTTTTTTTATACTTTTCTGAGCTAATACCAAATTTTAAAATTTTGTCTGTAAGTCAAAGTAATATCCGAATTAATTTTCCAAAGCCAAATAACCAAATTTGTGATGATGGGAGACTTTGTCACATATAAAAGAAAATTTAGACATATTGTATATCAAACCAAATAGTTATTTTTCATTTTTTTTATATATATTAAAAATTAATTTTATATTTAAAACTTCTTAACAATATCTATTTATAGTATCAAACCATTATTAAAAATTTTTTTTAAAAAAATTATTGTTCTAAACTCAATTCAAACCCTATAACAAATTCTATGTTTTAGCAAAGTTTTTTCAAATTCTACTATTTAGACTCTACATTTTCTAAAAAAATATATTTTTTTTTCTTTCACAAAATATTTCATCAAACATTATTTACATACCAAATCCAAACTAATTTTTTTTCCAAACTCATCAAAAAAAAAAAAAAAATACAGACAGTCCCTAACTTTTCGATTTTATTTTGGTATTATTCATTAAAATTATTTAATATTTTATTTAAAAATATTAGGTAAAAAACTTACTAAGAAGGAGACGAAGCAGGAAATCCAAATGACAGAGAAGCAGCCAAGAAATGCGTCGGCAATAATGGCGGCGGCGACGGGGAAGAAGCTGGTGCAGGCATTGACGAAGTTGGAGATCTGAGCAGCATCGATGTTCTTTATGTTGAATTCTTGGATCAAGAAAACTATCAGGTTGTTTAGCCATCCTCCACTGGCCACTGTCATCCCCACCACACTTGCTGCAACCTTCCAGTTATCAACATCATACTTTTAGAGAGATATATATATATATATATATTATGAAGAAGAAAGTGACCTAAGATGAATGGAGCTGTGCTCCAGCCGCCGCCGTGACTGGTGGTGGAGGAGGCGGATTTATTTTCCGGCGCGGTGGCTGTGCCTGTAATGGGAGCCATATGATTGATTAATTAATCAATCAAAACAGACAAGTGGTGTGGATATGGAGTTTCGTTTGTGGAATTTAAAGGCAAAAAGTTGGGAAGATAAAAAGGGATTCTATTCATTTTCTAAAAAAAAAATATTATGTATTCAAAATCGATCTATTTATATCTTTCTTCAATATATAATAATTTTATATATATTTAAAATTTTACATTTATTTATAAAATAATTAATTAGTAATAAATATTTATATTGTATACTCCCTCCGTCTAAGATACCGTGTCTGCTACACAGTAGACACGGTATTTTAATAGGAGTGTAATTAGTAGATAATTAAGAATGTATTAGTGAAAATAATTATCCTATAATATAAATAATTATAAATTAAGATTAAAATAACTAATTAGTTTAATTAAAATTTAAAAAATAAAATTAAAAAATTTAAAATGAAATTAAGGTGTGTAATCATTTTCCAAAAAAGGAAAGTGACATAGTATGGTATGCGGGATCACATAAATGGCAACATGGACATGGTACCTGGGATGGAGGGAGTACCATTTTAATTTTTACAAAATAATATTTATATTATGAACTTCCTTCCGTCGTTTCTAATCAAATGCAATTTTTACATTTTATAGTACATTAAAAAATAATACTCCCTCCGTTTCACTTCTCATGTCCATCTTTTCATTTCTGTCCGTCTCACTTATTTTGTCACTTTTTTTTCTAAAAATAATTATACACTTTAATCTTATTTTTAAAAATTTAATTTTTAATTTTTTTAATTTTAATTATGCTAATCAATTATTTAATTTTAATCTATAATTATTTTTATTATACTATAATTATTTTCACTAATATATTTTTAATTATTTACTAGTTATACTTCTCCTAAATTCCCATGTCTACAGTAACCCGGTCAAATTATCCGGACGGAGGAAGTAATATTTTAATTAATTAGTGAAAATTTGCAAGAGTTTTTGACATTTTTGTTGTTTGACTTGTAGTTTGATATTTGTAATTTAAATAAAAATTAGAGTATTTTGACATTAATATATAATTTTTTTTCTAAAATATGAAAGAAATATTTTGAAATAATTTTTATTAAAATATAATTATTAAAATAATTAAATATATATATATTAAATGGAAAATAAAATCTTAATTAAATAAATCTTTCAATTCAAAGACTTAACAGATAACCAAACGCACCCGAAATGAAATGAAATGAAATGATTCTTGATTTATCTGACGTTCTCTGTTATAAATAATTAGAGATGCGCTGCGCATTGGCGTGGTGGGTTTGTGTCTGTCTTCCATCATTGTTTCAATTGTGGCGTGGGGGACGTTCTTGCTATCATTTTTTGTCCCCTAGTTATTCCGGATTATTGTGATCCATTCAATATTTAAAAAAATATATATTCTCTCCGTCCCATTGAAAGGTCGTCATTTTTATTTTTGTATATTTTAAAATAAAATTATATTTTTTAATTTAGTAATTGTACTACCTACCTAACATAATAAATATCATTTCAACTTACACTATATTGCACAAATATCGTAACTTTAATTTGATATATTTGGAGCAAAAAATTTGTATATATAAATAGTGAAAATCCTACGTAATCCTTCAAACAAACACACTCTATATATATTTATTGAGTATCACTTTAAACGTTGCTTGTTGATTTAATTTTTTAATTTTTTATTTTATCGTCAAATTTAGTATCACTCGCTTGGAACATCGCTTTCGCAACGAGTGATCAATCGTTATAGTTGTCGCGTTTGAGCATTTGGTAAGTTGTCCCTCTAACTTCCCGTACACCACATTACAACTAATAATACGATCACGGCGAGAGAGTCCTGTGCCCTCGGCCACGGACTTGTTCCTCACAATTTAGATCATTAGCTCCCATGGACGTCGGCATCTTTCTTATTGCTTAGATGCCAAAATAAGTGTTGAGGATCCACGACCAAGATCAACACCTTCTAGCCAAGGTAATGCACGCCAAAAATCATATATATATATATATATATATGTATGTATATATGTTAATTTTAAATATTGCAAGGCCAATGTATCTAATGGCGCAAACAATAAAACGTGGTTATGGCATACATAGTAGAGAAGACAATAGATTAAGTATAGGTCAGATCCAGCCAAACTCGAGACTCGACTCGAATACACATTGTTGGATCCAGACTCGAATTGGACCTAACTATTCTCTATCAATCTCAGATGGCCTAGTACTGGTTCTTATTTTATACACAAAGTCAAAATGCAAAAATAATAAACCCCTTTTACTTGTTAAGTAAATGAAATACTATTATTTATTAATTCATTTCAAAACTCCAAAGCGACATCTCTCGGACATTTCTCGCTTATGAGTTGGGTGTCAGGTTCGATTCTAGGTGGGTACTCATGTGTTGAGTGAAATTCCTGCTAGAGTGTGATTGTGTGATGTATTAAAAGAAAACTTTTGGCTTTATTATACAGAAAAATAATTGTATCCTCTCGTAATTTTATTACTTTTATTTTAGCAAATAATAAACAATTTATCATTATTTATTTATTTATTTATTATTTTTTTTATCAATTTATTTATAAATTTTTTTATAATACTTCACATTATTTTTTACTTACTTTTTTTTAATATTAAAATAGTATTATTTTTTAAATTTCTATTCAACTAAAATTAATTAATTTTACCAACACGGGAGAGTAATATATAAATATTTATATAATATATAATAGATTTTATTGATTTATTTATAAAAATTAATAGTATTTAATATAATATTATTTTTATATTAAAAATAAAAATTTTCATAGTACATAACATCAAAACTGTATATATTATATCTTATAAATACGAGTTCGGATCTGCCACTTGAAAAGTCTATCTTGCCCCTCATTTCGAAAATGACAATTTAGCCCTTAACCTACCTTTGTACTGGCTTGAAAAGACGTTTTGGAACCGTCGTCAGCAACCGCCATCAACCGCCCAACGTTTTGGAACGTCGTCTGGTCGGTTACATCAACCGCCTCGCCAAACGCCTCCACCAGTTCCAGAACTCAAATAGCCCAACCGACCAATCCAGAGACCAATCGGTAGGCCAAAAGACTCCTTGGCCGCACCCACCCAGCGACTTGTCTATCCGCCTGCGGACCAGCTGAGTTGCCTATGCGACCGCAGACCAGCCGACCTACTTTATCAGACCGCAGACCATCAAAAATGTCTGTCCGACCTTCTGACCATCAGACCGTTTGTCCGAACGCTAACCATCCGACCGAGGACCAACCGACCAGATCAACCGACCGAGGACCTTCCGACTTGCCTATCCGACCGCTAACCAACCGACCTGATAATCCGACTGAGGACCAACCGACCGAGGACCTTCCAACCTGCTTATCCGACCGCTAACCAACCTACCTGACCATCCGACCAACCGACCTGACCAACCGACCTGAGCGCAAATTTTTCTCCTTTTCCACCCGACTTCGTGTCTAACTTCCTTTAAGATCCTACTATCCTTATTTTTATTATTATTACTATTTTTTTGTGTATAACAATTATCAAAGTTGAAATATTCTTGCTATTTTTGACATTTCAAAACTCATAAAGACATGCAGGGTCACCCTTCTTATCTCAGTCTATCCGTCTGCGGACCAGCTGACTTGTCTATTCGACTGCAGACCAGCCGACCTACTTTATCCGCCCGCAGACCATCATACCTGTCTGTCCGATCTGCTGACCATCAGACCTGTCTGTCCGACCGCTAACCATCTGACCGAGGACCAGCCGACCATACCAACCGACCGAGGACCTTCCGACCTGAGCGCAAATTTTTCTCCTTTTCCACCCGACTTCGTGTTTAACTTCCTTTAAGATCCTGCTATCCTTATTTTTATTTTTATTATTATTATTTTTTGTGCGTAACAATTATCAAAGTTGAAATATCCTTGCTATTTTTGACATTTCAAAACTCATAAAGAGATGCAGGGTCACCCTTCTTATCTCAGTCTATCCGCCTGCGGACCAGCTGACTTGCCTATCCTATCGCAGACCAGCCGACCTACTTTATCCGACCGCAGACCATGAGACCTGTCTGTCCGACCGCTAACCATTCGACCGAGGACCAAACGACCAAGGACCTTCCGACCTGCCTATCCCACCGCTAACCAACAGACTTGATCATCCGACCGAGGACCTTCCGACCTGCCTATCCGACCGCTAACCAACCCACATGACCATCCGACCAACCGACTTAAGCACAAATTTTTCTCCTTTTTCACCCGACTTCATGTTTAACTTCTTTTAAGATCCTGCTATCCTTATTTTTTTTATTATTATTATTTTTTGTGCGTAACAATTATCAGAGTTAAAATATCCTTGCTATTTTTGACATTTCAAATCTCATAAAGAGATGCTGGGTCATCCTTCTTATCTCAATCTATACGCCTGCGGACCAGCTGACTTGCCTATCTGACCGCAGACCAGCCGACCTACTTTATCCGACCGCAGACCATCAGACCTGTCTGTCCGACCGCTAACCATCCGACCGAGGACTAACCGACCGAGGACCTTCCGACCTGCCTATCCCTCCGCTAACCAACCGACCAGACCAACCGACCGAGGATCTTCCGACCTGCCTATCCGACTGCTAACCAACCCACCTGACCATCCGACCAACCGACCTTACCAACCGACCTGAGCGCAAATTTTTCTCCATTTCCACTCGACTTTGTGTCTAACTTCCTTTAAGATCTTGCTATCCTTATTTTTATTATTATTATTATTTTTTTTTTTTGCGTAACAATTATCAAAGTTGAAATATCTTTACTATTTTTTACATTTCAAAACTCATAAAGAGATACAGGGTCACCCTTCTTATCTCAATCTATCCGCCTGCGGACCAGCTGACTTGCTTATCCGACCGCAGACCAGCCGACCTACTTTATCCGACCGCAGACAATCAGACCTGTCTGTCCGACCTGCTGACCATCAGACCTATCTGTCCGACCGCTAACCATCCGACCAGACCAACCGACCGAGGACCTTCTGCCCTGTCTATCCCACCGCTAACCAACCGACCGAGGACCTTCCGACCTGCCTATCCGACAACTAACCAACCCACCTGACCAACCGACCAGACCAACCGACCGAAGACCAACCGACTTGACCAACCGACCTGAGCGAAAATAATTCGATTGTATTTTTGTTTTACAGTTTATATTTCAAATAAATAATGTTTCACTACATTACATTATAGAATAGTCGCGCGGTATACCGCGCAAGAGCGTGTTCTAGTATATATATATATATATATATGTATATTCATACATTTAAATTTATATTCCACGAGGTTTGCTACTACTTGTGAAATTAGAAAACCCGACTTTGGAGATACGATTTTAGGCAGGCACACACGACTTTAAATTAAACCTTCTCTCTCACTTTTGAGCGGTTGCCGTAAGGGGTTTCGGATCATCCTAAAAATTTACATACGTCGTCGTGGCCGCCCGGCGTCCCGAATCATCGTCGAATCCATTCGCCAGACCTTCTCATAATCGAATCGCCCTTCGATCGAGAGATTACATAACCGACGCCGCCGCCGCGCGGAAATCGATCGTTCCATCGACGCCCCAATTGTAGAATTTACTTCGTTGAATATATAGAGTGTTAAGAAAATGCGGATTGCTCCGTGGTCAATTCGGCAGCAGATGCTGACTTCCCAACGATCCTTTTCTTTCTGGCCCGGCATTGCTATCAGCCCTTTTTAGCTTGTGGAGTTTGCCGGACAAGCAAGAGCGGGTAGGTTCTTGCGTCCGTTTCTCGGCACTTGTGTTCCCGATTATGGTATTTGGATGTTAGTTGGGTATGTGGATTTTTACTGTTCGTATAATTTAGTGGTGTTTCTAATTTTGTATTGCGAGATTTATTGTGGAATAGGCGTTTTGATTCTGTCATAACTTGGTTTCCGGATTTGAATTATCCCCATTTTCGGTGGTTACGATTCTGCAACTTTTCCTGTGTTAGGAAATCTATACCTGTTCATATATTTGGGTTTGCTACACCAGTTGTTGGAGTGGATTCTTGGAAGTGATTAGCGCACTATAGATTCACCGCTTGAGGTTGTTGTTTTCAATTCTTGTAAGTAAATGATCATGGATTTGTAGAATATATTGGCTAATTTTAAAAAGGTCTTTTGAAAGAGATTCCATCCCTAAATTGAAACTGTGTGGAAGTGAGTTTAAATTGAGTATCTGTAATCCTATATATGCAATTTTCCGAAACTTATACGGATAAATTTGAATTCTCATCTTAAATGTTATTGAGGTTGAAGAGGCATTTCCTGATCTATGGCTCGTTATTTTACCGGCGAAGCAGAGATTAGTCATATTACTTGGTTGTCGTACATAACAAAATCCTGACATGAAAATGTGGAATATATTACAGCTGAATCGGTGTTAGGTTACTGATTGTCAATTCAGATTCATTCTTCAAGCCTTTTTCTTTTAAGCGCAGGTTCTTTTCTTTTTCTGTTTCGGAAACAAAAATTAACGATTTGTTCAACAGATGGGCTCGTTGGCAGGAAAATCAGAACTGGAGCTTGAAGACCAGCACCTAGTCAGCTCTCAAGCAATTGCTAGCAAGACCACCTCTCTGGAGATAACTCTTCCCAGATCTTTCATTGGTCCTGATAAATATGGCTGTAAATGCATACTAGATACCGTAATACGCAGTGTAAAAATTGTTCTGATCTCCAACAAGTTGAACTTGCTTGTTCCTTGTGGTCCTTTGGCAATATTATTTGATAAGCTTACAAACCAACATGTGAGTTATGAATTTATTTTGGCTGTTTACTAATTAAGATTATAATTATGTATATACTAATGTAATTCTTTAAAAAATTCAGGGGTGGGTTTTTTTCCTAAGTTTGTTTGGCATCATTCCCTTGGCCGAACGTCTGGGCTGGGCTACAGAGTATGCTCTTTACTTGTCATCTTAATACTTTTAGCATACAAAAGTTGTACTTTAGCTTCCTGTTATTGTTTATATTTATCAATATGAAGAGGATATGTTCTTTTATTGTTATATGGATTACAGTTTAATATTGCTATGTCTTACTTTTCGATGCAGGCAGCTTGCTTTCTATACTGGACCTACAGGTTTATCTCCATTTCCTCCAAACTTACCCTGCAGATTACCAGATGCTTTATTCATACATTGCAAGCATTCTTTAACTTTATTAAATGTTCTTTTTTTTGTCTCATGTCTTGTTATTAAATCTATTTGTTTTTATAAGCATAGATGTTATTGCTGACCGTGATAACGCCTTAATATTTTCATTGTGAATCATAGAATTGATGATGCATTCAAAAGGTTTACTGTGATCACTTGACTGATTTCCTTTAGGATTAAAAAATAATTATAAATAAACTTTAGCTACTTCTGTTTGTAGTTTCAATGCTACTTCCGACTGTCTCCCTTTTCTCTTCTAGTTGGTTGGAAAAATATCACTCTATTGATCTAATTGATGCACTTTGGGTTGGGTTTGTGTGGTGTGTCAAGCTAACTTTCTGAACTATCTGATATTGGAATTTAGTATCCTAATCCATTGATTCTAAGTCTCTATCCTAATATGGGTACATACCCTATGCATTTTTAGGCTAATTCTACTCTAATTCTAAGACGTAGAAGTAATGTTTTGGTATTGTCTGTCATTGACTTATGCTTTATCACTTATGTATATATCCACCACTGAATCTATCTATTTTGTTAACACTATTTTTGTTTATGTCAAATATATATCATTCTCGGATATCTTTAAGCTAGATGGACTAAATAAAATCAATTGTTTTTCCTTTTTGTTTCAGTAACGTAATATGAAAGCATTTTATGATGAACTTTCAAATTTTCAGTTGGGGGTCTTCTAAATGCGACATTTGGCAATGCAACGGAGCTGATTATATCTGTTCATGCACTTAAAAGTGGCATGATACGTGTTGTTCAGCAATCATTATTGGGATCCATTCTTTCAAATATGTTGTTGGTTCTTGGATGTGCTTTATTTGGAGGAGGAATTGTTAATTGTAGAAGGGACCAAGTGTTTGATAAGGTTAGTCAATTACTATGCTATCTCGATGTGCTGCTTCCAATTGAAAAGGAAAATAATTGGTGGGATCTTATGATATAGTCATACTATAGATATATGATATTACCAACTAAAGGTTCATTCATTTTGCTTATTATTTGGCAGCCAACCGCAGCAATGAACTCAGGATTGCTCTTGATGGCGGTAATGGGTCTCTTGTTTCCGACTGTTCTCCACTTCACGAGAACTGAGCTGCATTTTGGCAAGTCTGAATTGGCACTTTCTAGGTTTAGCAGTTGCATTATGCTTGTAGCATATGGAGCATACATTTTTTTCCAGCTGACTTCCCAAAATAATCTCTACACACCTGTAAATGAGGTAAATCATTGTGTCATTGATAATATCCTAATTTTCATTTTTGAGATATAGTTTGTATATATTTCATCTCTGACTTCTCCGAAAGGGTGTTGCTTTTCGTTTAATTTCTTAATTTATGGTGTTGTAAATCGTGTATACTCATCAGGCTAAAACTAAATTTCTGAATATTCTGTACCTTTCATGTTCCCATTAAATAAGCCAGAACAATTTTTATGAATTCAACCTGAGAAGTAGGTAATTTTACTGTCTTGTACAATTGGATTATTCGATAATTTTTAACAATTGGCTTGCATTAGAAGATCGGCTACTAGTCAAATCAGTTAATTGTTCCTTTTATCTTCATTTGCTGGTGCTAATTTCTTCTAACCCTCTTTGCATTTATAGGAGGAGAGTTCAACTAATGGGAGCTCAGATGATGATGATGAAACACCTGAGACATCGAAATGGGAATCAGTTATTTGGTTACTTATATTGACCTCTTTGATATCAGTTTTGTCCGAATATTTGGTTAATGCTATAGAGGTAGTTACTCTCAATTAGTGTGATCTTATGACCTTTGGCTGTAGTCTCATTATTGCCACTTTTGGTATTATTGTTTCGGTTGTAACACCTTTTCTTCTGTCTGTTTGTGGGGGGAGGAGGTTGTGTTTGTATGCGCATGTCATGCTAGAAGATGACTTTTATGCTGCTTTATTTTCTGAAACTTCTAATATTTTGTGTCACCTCCTTTTAGCGAATGATAATTTATTATTTTATTTTCAGGGAGCATCTGTTGCAATGAATATTCCGGTTGCATTTATAAGTGTCATTCTGCTCCCAATAGTTGGGAATGCAGCAGAGCATGCAGGTGCTGTTATGTTTGCGGTGAAAGACAAGCTTGTAAGTGTTCTGAGATTTTTTCCTCGCTGTGTTTTTTGTGAAGATTACAATCCTCACATTCTCCTTAGTTGAGCAGGACATTTCTCTTGGAGTGGCAATAGGCTCATCGACCCAAATAGCAATGTTTGTGGTATGTATTCAAGTATTAAGAAAATACCCACTGATATCCAAATTAAGATATAAATACAGTAATCAAAATAATACACAAATGAGCATAATTCTTATATTTATTGACTGTAGGCTTGGTTAATCTGAGTACTACTACTAAGCTTGTGTCATAGTTGCTTGTCGTACATTTCAACTCAGTCACAGACTATGCCCGTGTCTTTGAATGTGCACATTTCTACTTCTTTAGCATACCCAGACCTACTTTTTTGTGTTGTTTTAATGCTTCCACTTGTCCAAGTAAGTATTAAACTGAAATGCTCTGCTGTTGACAACTGTAGATTCCTCTGTGTGTGGTTATGGGATGGATCATGGGATGTCCGATGGACTTAAACTTTCAACTATTTGAGACTGCAACTCTCATTATGACTGTTCTTGTAGTGGCATTCTTGCTGCAGGTAAGCTTACAGCTTTGTCCTGTTTCTCGGTCATTTCAGTGGAATTGCTCTAAACCTTGCACTAATATTTTTCCTGTGCGCCTGAGCTTCATCTTGATGCACTTTTCTTTTGATGACATGGTGGGCATTGTCTTTCTGCAAATAGCAGAGATTTTGTTTTGACCATTGCTATATATTATTTTTTTTTTTCAAGACTCTTGTGTGCAATACTGCAGTTTTTAAGGTTTTAGCTTATGCTGAATTTCCTTTTCTCTATTTTATAGTGACTGTATATTACCGTAGATGGAGTAATAATCCATTATCAAGAGAGAACTATGTATTATTGTGAATACATGTTTGTATATAAATTAAATGTTTGGTGGTAAATAGGTGAAATGATAAAAATTTGAATACATTCCCATATTAATGTTCCGATGTAGCCTTGCCTCTGTCATTGTCAACATCTATCTATTTCCTTTACGGAGAAACAATGATGAAAGAAGGTTGTCTATAGCATCTCTTTCATCAATTACGATTTATTGCAGGAAAACAACATTAAACTTGGCCAAATGCAGCCAGCCTTATCTTAAACTCTGCTTGTATTTGAACGCAGGAGGGAACCTCAAATTATTTCAAAGGACTGATGCTTCTTCTATGCTACCTTATAGTCGCCGCCAGCTTCTTTGTACATGTAGACCCTGAATCTGTCCGTGAGTCTCTTCCCTGACGTTGTTCCTTTTAGACTATGAAATATATATATATATATACACGCACATACTCATTTTGTCATTGTATACAATTGCTTATGATGCTGAAAATGCCGACACTATTGTGCAGAGGACAAACCAACCGGCATGCCGTAAAAATCATATGAATGCAGGAGGCCAATGGAGAGAACCTTCATGTGTTTCAGGTTTGATGCTGTATGGTTTACTGGATGCAGAAATTTTTTACTGTATTATCAAGAATTTTGTGTATATATATACATACATACATACATACATACATAGTGAAACAGAATATATGCCATCTTACAAACTTGAGGAAAATCTATAGCTGCTTTTTTCATGATATGAATTTGCATTTATTTCATATCATTGGTTTCATCTGAGTCCCCATGCTATCCCTATTGTCAATTATGCCCGAAACAGCACTGGTTTGATCCATCTTGGCTTCAATTTCTTCCGGGTTTTCCTCGACACCCGGGATAGAAGTTGGAATCCTTTTCACTCAAAATATTGTTCGAATACCCCGCCCTCGTCCTTAGAATCCCAACGATACAAGTTCTATAGGCCAATATAGAATATAATATTCCATTTGTCTAACTCTAAAGTTTACATTTATTCTTTACACGCAAATTAAAAATATTAGTATTTCAATAGTAGTGGATAAATATAATGGTATAAAAATTAAATTGTCTTTAGTTTTAGATATAAGTGTATTATAAAGTGAGAGTAAGATGGTAAATAAGTATAAAAGAAAATGTATTAATAGTTAGTGATAGGATCTATATTTACTAAAAAGGGAAATATAAACCTTTGACCAAAATAGAAATATGCAAACTTATTAAAGTTAAATGTGATGGTCTTTCGGATTTGGGAGGAGAGACCAATGGTGCAACTTCATATATATGTTTATTTTATTGTTGGAATATAAAATTAGAATTTTTTATTTCAATCATGTACATATTTATAATAGATTACAAATCATCTAAATTGGTTGAGAATTCTACAAATTTCTTAATCAAGACAAGTATCATAAATGAAATATAGATATACACCTCTCAAATGAGAATTGAACCAACTGATGTAGTTGGAATCATCCACTAAATCAAAGTCAGAGACACACCTCTCAAATAAGAATTGAACCAACTGATGTAGTTGGAATCATCCACTAAATCAAAGTCAGAGACGTGACTCTCAAACACAAATACAATCTCAAATGGATGCAAACTTAAATGGAAATGTCCATGGCGTGATAAATATACATTTTTTCGGAATCGGTGTTCTTGACGGCCTAGTTGAGGCTGCTCCTTGTCTTCCTAATTTTCTTTCTTAGGTGGGTGTAAAGGATATTGATTATTCTTTCATGTTGGAAATTGGCATTGAAATTATTGAACATAAATGAGTAGACTTTTAATACAGTAACTTTTTAGCAAACACTATTACTTTGTCTAACTTTTTAATAGCATATACAAGGCCATAACTTCATTCCTATGACAATGTTCTTTAAAAATTTCCACTGGTTTCCATTAAAGTAAATATACAAAATTAATATTGCAATAGTATTTTACTTGAATTCAGCATAAATGGGACAAAATAAAATAAAATTCTTCAACACAATAGGAAATCTGGGAGAAGCAGCTAAACCAAATTTTTTTATGCAGTTTCGTGGATCTGAAAGTGATATAATTATGTTTATTATTCATGTGGGCCTAGAAAGAAGAAAAATGAATATTTGGCTTCTTCCCTATAACAGCATGTCGGCAAAAGAATGACAAACAACATTATTATGGATTTAAATACAAAAAATATATATATAGAACTGCAACCATTATATGATCAAATGGCAACAACATTCAAAGACGAAGCTTCATAGAAACTCAGGATGTAGGTCAAGCCGCTACTTACCTGTTCCGTTTGGAGGTCGACGACGGTGTAGTCAAGACCGAGGTGTTTGCAATGGAAATAAGTCACCGCATGAATACATATGCATAATGGTTTTTCATCTTTGTCCGTTGTACTTGTATTCCGGTGCCTTAGATTTGAAATATAATCATCTGGGAACTTTAATGAGCTCACCCATTGACATAACAAACGTGAATGTGAATAGAAAATGCATAGGCTATCCCTTTTTTTTTTTTTTTTTTTTTTTTTTCTTTTGGATCATCTTCATTAGCTGAAATCGAAAGCTCGGACCTGTAACAGTGGTGTTACTTGTCCTTCCTTGTATTGATATTGTCCTCCACTTTTCCTAATATGTCCATAACAGTATGTATGATATTTTTGATCACATATTTCTTGATATTTAAATTGTATTGCAGAAGTAGGTCTTTTCAATATGAAAAAATCCCAAAAGATACTCTATTTCATACTTTTGTGTCTAAATGAAACGATACTCCCAAACTTGAATAAAATTTAAGCAGATTAATTAGACTACTCGTATGCAATATTCATTTTCAGGAATCCACTTGAAGAAACTTTAGAGTTAAGCGGATAATTTCAAAATAAGTAACCGTTATCTTCTTTGGACCAGGGATAACAACTAATATATATATATATATAACAAGAAGCAGGGGTAATTGCCACAGTAACTGCCAAATGGAGCAAACTCGTCACTACATAATCCTATATATTCATGCTTCACCATGGTAGGAATGACTCATCATCCATTCTCATTCGAATTTAAAATTTGGGAAGTACAAAATATTCGAGACCAGGAAATCTTTTGAGTTTTTTTAATTAATTAAATTAAAATATGTAAGAAAGGTTCGGATATTTCGAGAATCACTAGAAATTGATTCGGAATCTTCCGAGCTTTTACAACTAAAGAAAATATTATAAATAACAAAACTTCGGAATTTACATTGGCACGGAATATTCTGAAGCTCATTTTAATATCTACATATTAGTTGACTAGAGTTTAAATCTTTCGATCATCTTTTACTAAATAACATAAAATATATATAATAAAGTTCAAAATTTTCGAGGCCCTTTTCACAACCCACTTATCTGGTCGCGATATTTTCCGAACTTGTTAAATAAAATAAGAACAAAGGCACATAATAGGCTCATAATGTTCTTGTCTTATATATTTTAAAAATATTATATATAATATAGCTTCAAATTTGTCGAGATTCTTAGGAAAAGTTTTCGAATAGACTCGGAATGTTCGTACCTTCTATATGTTTAAAAATATTATATATAATATAGCTTTGGATTTTTCGAAATTTACAATAATATCCATGAAATGGACTCGAACATTCTTTACTTATTAAATTTAAAAAATATTACATATAATACAAAAATGAAGAACAACCATGCTCATATATTGTGATGCTTTCATCAATTACTATTGAATATTTTAAAATATATATATATATACAGTTGGAACAAAACCTCGTGAAATTATGAATAAAATTTGCAGTTCAATCAAATTACTTTCAGTAAATCTAAGATTAGTTTGATCAAAGTGATCTTCCTTCCATAATTTATAAGCAGCCCTCTCAAAACATCGACATTTCGGCATTGTATATATCTCTATTATCCGGGCTATTGCTATTGCTATTGCTATTGCTATGGCCATCAACACGTACATCAAAATTATCCTCGCAAATAATTTATCGACTCAGTTTCGAATCAAAAGTATAGAAGCCATATTCAAAGATACCTGTTGATGATCCTATAAATAATGTCTAGATCACAGTACCACTGGGGATCTCGGCGTCCTTGATCACGGTGACAATGCCGCCCTTGATGAAGTATCCGTCCGCCTCTCTTGCTGCTTCTTGTATGTTGTCGCTGTTAATGATCTGCCGTAAAATTCACAAACTTATATTAGCATTGAGATAGAAAGGAAAGAAAAAAAAAAAAAACTGGTTGTTTTGCTATGAGCCAAACAGATTCCTCAGTTCATACCTTCACATTCTCTCCTATTCGAGCATTTTTGTCGATGATGGCTCTCTTGATATGAGCATTCTTACCGATGCCGATGGGAATTCCTCCCTTAGCAATCATATTTCTCCTGTCCGCATGGGTCTGAAGCACAAGAAATGGTAATTGCAATACTATTTGAGAATGTAGAAGATTAGATGATAGGTAACGACACGGTTGTTGTGTTGAAATATAAAATTTAGCAGTGTGCTGACAGCACACGGTATAAATACAGACAGCCAGCACATAAATTTATATTAATATAATATAAACACTAGAATAGAGAACACACCATAGAAAGATAATAACGACAGACAACACATCGTTTATGTTAATATAATATAAATACAATACATCGTTTATGTTAACAACATATGACATAGTCCTACATAATCACACGATGGAGAGACTGATAAGAATCATATTAACATAATTCAAAAGCAGCTCATGAATTATCGGCACATGGAAGAAGTATATCAATACAGCGGATCTCTATGTTTTTATCAAACACGGTCTCTTAGATAAAAATTAGTGCTATGTTTAATAAAAGTATGTAGTGCTTGAGACTGTTTTATATGTGCTGACCTCGTAATAATCTGCGCCCATCAATAAGGAATCCTCTATGATTGCACCCTCTGATATACACGATCTAAGTCCAACTACACAGTGATGGATTTTACAGTTCTGCGCCGGGAAGAAAGACTTACTACGGATCATGTGAATAATGAGAAATAACGTATGGATTAACGAACAACATTGGCAACTTTATCTAGCTATATCACAAGACTGCAAACCAATCACAAGCATAAGAATTCTTGAGTCGAGAAATCATATTTTGGCAATGCCATTTTGGGCTTAGCTGATTATATCATTGAATGGTATTAAATATACTTGCCTTGATCACACAGCCCTCACCAATGACACTATCTGTGACATCTGCATCCAGCATTTTAGAAGGAGGTAGGTACCTCGGCTGGGTGTAGATTGGAGCAGATCGATCATAGAAGCTACAAGAAGCAAGTGGCAACATAAGGTATTTCAATGTTCTATGAATAGAGACATTATTAGTGGCGCACAACCTATCATAATGGAAAAGAAAAAAGCAGATTAAGCAAAGGAAATTCTTACGTAAAATCTGGCACAGGCTTTTTCGTGATCCCTAGATTGGCATTGTAGAAAGCTTCAATGGTACCAATGTCTTCCCAGTAGCCATCAAACAAGTAAGCTTGCACCTAAATAGAAGACAAAAATTAGCTCCCAACTAGTCTAAATATGATCAAAAGTGGTAGTGTTTGATGTAAAGAAGGATGAAAACACATATTTGAGTTACATACTCTTAGTCCGCTGGCTGTAGCTCCAGGAATAACTTCACTTCCGAAATCATTAGACGCAGGAAACTTGTCTCGGAGAAGATTTATCATCACATCTTTGCTGATAACATATATTCCCATACTTGCAATGTATGGCATCTCCTTTGCTCTAGTATCATCAAGTCCCAAGATGGTAGTATCGACCTGCGAAACCAAGCCATTAGGCGAATAAAGATGGATAATTTTGTAGCAAACTTTGAGCTCTCAATCTATTATTTACTAGACAGCGTAGCAACCTGCATAGCTTTTAACTGTTCTCCGTTTGGTTTCTCTGCAAATTCAATAATCCGTCCCTCTTCATCGATTTTCATTAGTCCAAATGCTGAGGCACGTTTTTCATCCATAGGCAATGCAGCAACGGTTATGTCAGCGTCTGTTTCTCTGTGGGCCTGAATGAATTTCTCATAGTCCATTCTGTACAAATGATCTCCAGCAAGAATGAGGAACTCAAGAACATTGTGCTCTTCAAACAGCCATATATATTGCCTTACAGCATCTGCTGTACCCTGGAAATGAAATTAAACATAAACAATTGGTAGATAATCAACAAAACGCAAAAAAAATCTAAAGAAATATTTAAGCTAAACAAAAACAGAACAAGAGCTTTAGCCATGGGGACTGTTGTACACCTACTTTGTCATTTATGGGTGAGGAAACTTCAAGAATACTGGATTAATGAAAGGTACCTGGAACCAATCTGGATTTTCTGGACTCTGTTGAGCTGCAAGAACCTCAACAAAGCCTTCATTCTTGTAACCGCCCATGTTACTTGCATATGCCCTTGAAAGGTGGCGATTAAGGGAAGCAGAATTGAATTGGGTGAGAACATAGATTTTGGATATGTTACTGTTCAAGCAATTGCTCACAGGAATGTCAATTAGCCGATAATTTGCTCCAAGAGGAACTGCCGGCTTCGCCCTCTTCTTTGTGAGAGGATAAAGTCTAGTACCAGCTCCACCTCCTAGAATAATTCCCAAGACACTCTGATCAAGAACAAGGAAAGAGAATTATTGATCCAGATTATATATAAGACCTGAATAGTCCTCAAATGTATCAGACTTTCACAGATTCTGATAAGTAAGGGAATATAAGATGAAATTTACAGAATGTTTGTTACTATGAACAAACTAAATGAGTATTATCTTCCATTGCAGCCCACTCGTTCTTTATGTAAAATTAATCAATGATCCTCAAAACGACTCGTTCTTTATGTAAAATTAATCAATGATCCTCAAAACGACTCGTTCTTTCTGTAAAATTAATCAATGATCCTCAAAACGAAGTTATAAACATTAATTCATTTCCCACCAATTTTGTTAAATCTGTGACCAAACAATTACATATTAATATTGCAGATATGAATGGTAATATTAACACTGCAAGCTTTGGTTCTGCCAATTGTAGAGCGTTACAGTTAATCGTATAACTTTGTTTGAACATGATGTATTCTGAATATTTGTTGCATATCGAGAGAGAAAACTACGGATCCATGGAAAAACACTGATATAACTTTGAATTAAAACAAATGTTCAAATGACACATGAAACAATATGCGCAGATCCCTAAGATTCACTTTCATTTTTACATTCTCACAATTTCCATGTAAAACCGTCCATGCCAAAAAAAAAAAGAGAACATCAACGAAGACAGTAAGTTTTATGCACACTCACAATTAAAAAGCGAATAATCACAGAATGGATTAACTACCTTGTCCGCTGCTGGATCGAGGCAAGTCTGCGAATTCTGGGAATCGGACACGGCCTTCGGAGACACGATCAATGACCTTTGCCTCTGAGATTCAAATCCAGAACGACGCCTCAACAATGGGAAACTGACGCCATTCCTACCTATATTAGATGCTGCGAAAGACAGGCGCCTATACGTTGAACCGAGACCGGCCGCACAGTGTGATTTATTGTCGTCGGCAGCAGTTGGTTTGGGGACGACGCTCAAGAACAATCCGGCAGCTTCCATCACGAAGAGACGGACAACAGCGAAAGAAGTGTCGGAGGGTTTGAACGAGCCTAAACCTATGGCGGATCACAGTGACAGTGTGATCGTATTTATAGAGTAACCGCAAAGAGAGGGACAGAGAACGAACGCCATGGAAGACGGTGCTTAGCCTTGCATAATAAGAGTAATAAAAATTATACTATGAGAGAGGGTTTGTGAAATCCCTAATTTAACCTTACAACACGTGACGTGACTGACGAGGGCAAAATGGAAATAAATCTTCATTCAATATCTCTAATTTGACCTTAAACACGTGACGTGACTAACATGCTTTAAACTTTATTTTATTTATAAAAATATACTCCCTCCCTCCCATTTCTATTATGCTAAATTATATTTTTACAGTTTTTTTAGGTAATTGTCTTTTAATTATAAATGGACAAATTTATCCTTAATTGTACGGAGTTTAAAAGTAATAAATAAATAAAGAGTAAAAATATAAAATTTGTGTTTAAAAAAAAAATAGGACAATAGTTATTGGACGTCCCAAATAGAAAAGTTGGACGTTAGTTTGTGGACGGAGTGAGTATCAGTTTGTTCCATTAGTATTCTTTTAATAAGTTTACTTTTTATACTCCCTCCATTTATATCAATTTATCCATTTACTTTTTACATGAAATTTTTTAAAATAATTAAGAGACGAAGGGAGTATTAAATATATGGAATTGTGTTGGAAATATAAAAAATAATATTTTATGTTAAAAAGTTGATTATGTATACTATCTTCGTCCGATTCAAAGGGACTCATTTACTTTTTGTGTATTGATCTTTAAATATTAATTATTATATCAAAACGTAGTACAATGATGCAAAAGGTAAATATAACCCTTAGAGCCGAATAGAGGGAATATTATATTATTGTGTGTATATATGTATTTTTTTTTAATAATATTTATGGAAATTATTTTATTAAAAAATGCTGAGTGAACCGAACGATTGTAGACAAGAAAAAAGTATGTTAATTTTATAACTTTTATATTTAATTTAAAGCTGGTCATATACTTTATTTAAATTCTTTGATTTTCTTTTCGCGTTGATTTGTTTTCTAAATCGGATTTGGATGGCTTCATTGGACGATTCAAAAGGATTTAGTCTTTTAAATTAACTTTGCTGGACTTTGGAAGATTTTGATCTTAGTACGGGCAAATTTAATAATCGGTTTTGACTTCGATGTTTTCTTGATAAATTTGAGGCTTTGATCTTTGGTGGTGCGGGCTTGTTCATTCGTAAGATTTGTTGATGGTGTGTCTCTTTTTGGATTAAAGAAAGCCGAATTTGATGATTTAACAGAGAACGCAATGAACGTCTCACAAACTTCCTCATAAGGGATGTGTTCATAGGGGCAGCCAAAATAGATAAGCAATTTCCTCCATATTAATATCGTGCTCGACCTACGAGTCAGGAACAAACCTAAGCACAAACCAAACATCAGCACTTCCGATATTTGATTCAATGCCGCCTTCAAGCCTATCGTCCTTTTACAGCTAAGATTGAGGATGTTGAGTAGTTTCAGGCACTACTTCATGAAACCGGGCACCAATGTCGAAATCCAAACCCAAATTGAAGGGCTCCTCTGTGTTCGGCACCCATCCGTCGTCTTCTTTGCCACATCCAGATGCTTCCCCGAAAATAAGAACAAATCAAAATGTCGCTGAAATTATTTCAAAATACAAGTGGTGTTCAATCGATTTAGAGACCACGAAAGGGTAATAGTCCCAAGTAAGGCAACGAGGTCTCACGGTCGGATTAAGGTTTGGAACCCATGGACTCGAAAGAGAAGTCGACGGCCACTACAAGAAAATATTAATTTTGTAACGAGATTTTTTCGTCCTTAAATCCACTTTTTCCGTTATTAATGATATTTATGGATTAAATTATATTAGCTACGTAAAATTTAAGGATAGAATTTCGTTACAAATATACTATTTTTTTGTAGTGGGCACTGGGCGGACCAAACTATCTACGGATTGAGGTGTTTAGAATGAAAAGAAAGGACGAGAGTAGATTTGAAAAAGAAAACGGATTGGTGGGATAAAGGGATGAGAGAGAATGAGATGGGTGGGGTAGATAATGTGTATGTGAAGATAAATATAATTAGATTTAGATTAAAATTTTTAAATTATGTTTAAAGTATGCAAATTTTTGTCAAAAATAAAAAATAATATAAAATATAAGACAATGATAATGATAATGTAAACACTGTAATTAAGACAAGAAAAATATTACTTATAACTTCAAATCTCAACGCCTTCAAATTTTGTCTATTACACATGGTTAGCCTAACGTGATTTGTCTTGTCGAGTCTAGTTTGTAGGCTATTAATTTCAAGGAACTTTACCTAAAGCGCACTGAAAAGCGGCTGCAGATTCTCATGTAATAAAATTAAATAATAAAATAAAAATTAATTAATAGTAACTTTATTAAGTGATAAAATCAATTTTGGTCCCAATTAAAAAAAAAAAAAAAAAACTCATCAATTTAGTCTAATTATAAATAATTTCAACCAATTTTAGTCATATTGTTAAAAAATTAACGGAAATGACTGACGTAAACATAACGGGATTGACGTGGCAGCTGACCTGGAGAGTACACGGTCATGTATAATTTTACACGGCCGTGTACCTTTCTGTTTTGGTCTAAAATTTTATTTTTATATATTTATTTTTAAAAAATATTTTGAATATAGAATAATTAATATAGTTAAAATAATAATTAAAAAAAAAACAATAGTAATTCTAATATAATTAAAATGTACAATTTTAGTTCAAATAGAAACTTATCGACTATGTTCGTTTTTGAAATTCTATTATTTACCAAAAAAAAATTCTCTTATAAATATTCAATTACACTATTATTTTTTTTTTATTTTTGTATATTATAGTATTATAAATTATTTTTATATTTCAATACAATAATATATGTCTACGTTGAAATTATATTGAAATGTAACATAAAATTTAAATACTATAATATATATAAAAAATCATAAAATTTAAATACTATAATATATATAAAAAAATTAAATAAATTGTGTAATTGTATGTTTATAAAAGTAAAAATTTTGATGAATAGCAGAATATTAGACAAAATTTTTCAAAAAAGAACATATCTTATAAGTTTTTATAATATTTGAATTTAAATTGATATATTTTAATTATATTATAATTATGGTTGATTTTTCGCATTTTAATTATATCAATTATTCTAAATTCAAAATATTTTTTTTAAAAAAATATATAACAAAAAATATAAAATTTTAGACCAAAACAGAAAAGTACATAGCCGTGTAGAATTAAATATGACCGTGTATAACATGGTCGTCTATAATTGTATATTGAAATATACATGGTCGTGTATAATTGTACATGACCATGTACTTTCCAAGTCAATTGTCCGTTACGTCTACGTTAGCAATTTTTGTTAGTTTTTTAACGGTGGCACCAATATTGATTGAAGTTATTTATAATACAATTAAAATTAATGAATTCTTTATATTGAGACCAAAATTAATAAATTTTGATTATATTTTGACCAAAATTGATTTTTTTTACCTTTATTAATTATAAAGAAAAAATTTAAATTAATTTTGAAAAAAAAAAAAAAAAAACATATAACTAACTACGACCACTTTTCCCTTGTCTCTCTCACACTAATGAAATTTGACTAGTCCCATAAGGAATGACCTAGTGTTGTAGGGGTTGGATTTGTGACCGTGAGTGAGATCATATATTCAAACCCCGACGCCTCAGGTTACCTGCCACACATAGTTCGTCTAGTGTGACTTTTCCGTCGAGCCTGATTTGCAGGGTATTAGGTTCGATTGAGGATTTACCCAATGCGTATTTTCGAATAACGACTGCGGGTTCCACGCATCAATCAGAAAAAATAACGAAAACGGACTAAAAGCTGATATCATGTGATGGATCATCAGCAGAATTTAAGTGAAAATATATATATATATATCTGCGGGGGGGAGTGAATGCTGACCGTTGATTTGGTTTTAGTTTTTTAACTAGAAATGAATTTAGGGACAGAACAGGAAATGAAAGAAAAGGACGTGTGTGTATCTATATCTATATATGTAATGTAAATAAAGACACGTCATCCCATGCCATGCATAATAATTGCGTGTATTTGGCAGAAAACGACAAAAGTTACTCCTCAAAATTTGGTAGGCCTACGCAGTGCACATATGCTTGTACTTTTCCCTCAAAACACTCCGGGTGTACTTATTTAACACTTGTTTGTTTAATGTTTTAATTTGAAAATTATTTTATTTTTATTTTATGTGAAGTTCAGATAATTAATTGTGTTATTAATATAAAAAAATATACTCTCCCGTCCAGCTAGAAAGTATACATATTTTTTTTTTGGGACGTCTAATTACAAAGTAAATATTTCATTAAATACCTCACTTTTTCACAAATATCCTTACTTTACATCACATCATTATTTTTACACCAAAAAATAAGGACAAAAATGACATTACACTACTTTCAACTACCCTCTATAATTAAAATACTATTATTCCTTAAACACCGCGTCAAAAGTAAATATATACTTTGTGTGTGGACGGAGGGAGTATATATATATTTTTTTGAAACAGTAGAGACATTTGGGATGGACACGAGAATTAAGAAATAATACTCTCTCTGTCCCGATGCAACGTTGCCGTTTACGTTTTTTTACATAGATTTTTGAATATTAGTATTATAATGGGTTGTATTGAAAAAGACAAAAATATTCCTATTAATATTGTGTAATATAAAAGTAATGTTAGAGCCCGTTTGGATTGTCTTAAAAAATAAACAGAAGCCAAAAGCAGAAGCAGAAGCAGTTTGATTTTGTATTTAGATAAATTATTATAAAAGCAGCTTTTCGTAAAACGTTATATAATTGAAAGTGCTTTTAAAACGTTAAAATTACTTAAAAGGACATGCAGTTAATATAATACTAGTATTTTTCTATGATATTTTTATAATTTAATTTAAATTTTATAAATTATATTTAAAGATTTTAAATTAAAGTATAAATATGTACTTTTAAATTTTGATTATTTATATTTTAAAATTTTAATTTAAGAATAATATACCAATTAAATATAAAATTACAGTAAAATATTATATAATTTGTATTTTATAAATTTATTTTAAAATTTTATAAATTATATTTAGTAATTTAAGTATAATTAAAAATTTACATACTCCTATTTACATTCGATATTTAAATTTTAAATTTTAATTCAAATATAGTACATAAATTAAAAATAATAAATTAATTATATTTTTTAATTTATATTAAAATATAATATATATGTTATTTATTTTTCTATTATTATATTTTTTTTATTAAGGATAAAACAGTAATTTTAACTGAAAAATGCTTAAACTTATTTCAAAAGCTACCCCAATGTGCTTCTGAAAAAAGCATTTTTCAGCTTCAAAAGCTGCTTCTGCTTTTGGACAGAAGCCAATGCAAACAGGTGCAAACCACTTTTTTTAGAAGCAAAAGCCAAAAGCTTCTGCTAGAAGTCAATCCAAACAGGGCCTTATTTGTGTAATACAGTGCAAGTTGTAAATATATTTATTGTGTTAAATAGATAGTACAGTTACTAAATTAGGAAATGGTAATCTTGTTTTGAGAGAGACGAAAATGAAAAATAACAATCTTTCAATGGGACGGAGGAAGTAGTATTATATTGATAGTAAATGTAAAAGTATTTTTAAAAGACTAAAATGTCTCTACTTTATATAATTATTGTGAAAAATATGGGGATAATTTTGTAAAAAAAAAGATAAAAAGTTAGTTAAAAAATAGAAATGTAACTATTACTTTAGAACAAATGAAAATAGTAAAATGAGACTATTCTTTTAAAACAAATAAGTATATTAAACGTTGATTTTTGTAAAATGATAATATATATATATATTAGAAATCGTGAAGAAAAAATCTTAGACAAACAATCCATTTTTTCAAATTTTTATTTAAAATTTTAAATTATGTTTTTCAAAAGAAATAATTCTTCCATCTCAAAAGTATAGTCTTGTTGTGTTGGGCATGATATTTAAGGAATATTGATATTATATTAGTAGTTGGTAAAAAATAAGAATAAATAATTTTTTTGCCCTTGTGAGTATATTAGTGTAAAAAGTAGTAGCAATTGTGTAATAATAATTAAAATATAGTGATAATTTTATGGCGATATAGTTATTTATGAAAATGAGACTATTGTTTTAAGACGAACGGACAAAAATGATAAACAAGATTATAGTATTAGGACGGAAAAAATATATATTTTTTAAATTATTGAATATTATTGAAATATAAAATTTAATTAAATATTTTCAAATCAATTCCAAAAAAAAAAAAAAAAAAAAAGTTCTAATCAATTGCTTAACAATATATATATATCTTTGAATAGTAGTACATTCTTGCAGCGATGCCATGTGCCAATAATCCACGTGTAGGAAGATTGGAGCACACGGCCAAGTTGCAGAACAATCAATATTAGATAAAAAGTAAATATACAAAAAAAAAAAATTAGATAAAAAAATAACTACAGAATCTTAAAAACAATATTAATGTGTATATATATGAAATACAAATGTTCAAGAAAATTCGTGTTAGTGATTATAAGTTTACCCGTCACACTAATTCAACCACCCTTTATGGTAAAGATATTCCTATAAGTTTCATTTCATTTTATTTTTTTTTTTATAATGTAAATATTTATATTCGTTATTGTTCGAGTATTATTTAATTAAACTTTCGATCAAAGTTAATAATCAGTAAAATATACCTTTATATATATATATATGACATGAGAATTCACAACTATTATTTTTTAAGCACGTTTTAGGTAAATTAAAGAAGGATCCATATGTAAGTAATTTTTATTCTACTAAAATAATATTTTTATATTTTTATAATTATATTACCATTAAAAAAAATAAAAATGTAATGTCTGAAATGTTGAATAAGTGCTTATCTAATTGGTGAAATTTAATGTTTAAAATTAAATTCAAAATTTACGCAATCGATTAATCGGCGAGTGAAAATGCGACGGATCGGTGAACCAAACTAATTAAATTAATTTGGATGAAATAAATAAATATTATATATGGAGTTTGATTAATATTTTGGTTATTTTGCTTGTCTCAAGGCAAACCAAATGTGTAGTCAAACTCAGGTATATGACCTAAGTGACATAATTATTTGAATAAAATCTTATCTGATTGATAAATTTATTATATTTTCAAACAAAAAATTTGAAATTAGAATAAATTACAATCGTTTTAAATATAAAATTTAAAATTAAAATAAATTACATGGATAATTAAAATTGTAATTATGATCGTAATTAATCCGATCATTTTGGCCCCCTTTACATTCTAAATATACCAACATGAATTAATTGAGTTGATTGCATAAATGAGGCCAATTGATTGATTATATTTGATCAAATTAGAAAAGATATAAAGAATGAGGAGTGACTACAATAAGAAAGAGAAGGGTGATGTGGACCTATGTTGGCCCTAAAAATTATATAATGGCAAAAAGGGTGTCTACAAAAGAAGTGATGAGTTGGGCCAAAAAACTTTTGGGCTGAAAATGGCCATTAAAGAATGTTTGGGCTAAAAACAATTGTGGCCTAAAAGTGTACTCCCTCCGTCATTCAAATTTATGTTCATTTTTTTTAGATTGTCGTTGAAAAATATTCTCGTTTCCTTTTCTAAGTAGAAAATTATTACATTTTTGTATTTTTTTTTACTATAAAAGGAAAAAATAATCATTATTACTCACTTTTATTAAAACTCGTGCTCGGTCAAATGAGCACATATTTGCATGATGGAGGGGGTACATTATTTCATTTTATACAATATCACATCTAAACTATTTTTTGAAAACAAAACTATAAAAATAGATAATTCATGTCTCAAATTAAATGCTTCAAATTATGCCGAATAAATTTAAAGTGAGAATTTTATACGTGTTAAAAAATAAATAAATAATGCCTTAATAAATTGAATAAGCTACTCCCTCCGTACTAAATAAGGTGCAACATTTGTTTTGGACACGAGTTTTTAGGTGGTAGTATTAAGTAGGATAATTTAGAAATTAGGTGACGTGATGAAGAGAGAAATATATATATTATTATTATTTGTGTGATGGGATGAGATAAAGTGTGGGGTAAAGATTAAGTATAATTAATTATTTTCTATTTTAAAATATTGCAGGTGTTTGGAACATAACAAAAAGAAAATATTGGACGATGTTTGGGACGGAGGAAATATTTTAAAAGAAAAGTAAGATCTAACTAAAAAAAAGTTAAGTGTACTACATTAGTGAGATGTAAAAGTTTAAAATCTTCTTGAATTTAGTAGGATCAAAGAATAAACAGTGGAATAATATTAGATTAAATAGAGGTAAAAGTAAAAATAAATTGGTAATTAGGCGATGAGTATGAATTTGTTCACTCAATTTAATTTTTAGTGGTATGATATATTATAAATATTATAAAAATATTCATATTAATAGAATATATATACATGCTATTCATCTTTAAAAAAATCAATAATTCAATACAAAATATTTTTTTATATATTTTTTATGCGATTCTTCTTATTTAATATAAAAAATATATTTATTTGTTCAAAAACATAAAATGAACAAATTGTATATAAATAAATCTCGATGTCTACCGGTCTTATATGCCACACATGATTCACTTAATATAACTTACTTTGTCGAACTTAGTTTGCATGCTATTAAATTCGATTGGGAGTTTACCCAAAATGTATATTTATACAATAATTTTTATATAGTAAATTTCAACTGTTAAAGTAAGATAGGTTTATAATATAAAATATTATACTCCCTTCGTCCCATAACAAGGTATCCATTTACTTTTTGTGTGTTAAGACTCTTGTAACGATTTTCGTGTAATTCGTTCCATTTTCTTTTTGATCGAAATTCACATATTTTAGATAGATGGTCCAATTATTGGTTAATAGTTCACTAATACACATTCGAACTTGAGGAATATTGCTTCAAAACCCTCTTGAAGCTGATACAAAATTCTTCCCAACATAATAATTAATTTATGTTAATTACATAGAAATAAATTTATATATTTGTACTAATATGATTCTATTCTTTACAACATAATAATTTAATTAATATTAAAAACTTATAGATTATAAAATTTAAAATATAATTAGTGTGTGTTTGTTTGGAGTTTGGATCTTGAGTTTGAGATTTGAATAGTAATGTTATGTATTTGTATAGTAAAATCTGATTTTAACAAGAAACAATACAATTAAATTTAAAAACTATTGTATTGAATTGAACAAAAAATAAGCACAAGAATCGCAAAGAGAAGTTCGGATCAACCCCTTGGCACAAACCCTAGAATAAATATCGGTGCGTGGAAAGGAAACATAGACTCGATCTCTGCCTAGAACAACCACAACTAATTGATTTAGCTTGCACACCAAACTCTAACCACAATCACTGGCACAGTCAATCCTCACTAATACAAGAAGATTTTCGCACAAATATCTCAATCTTACAATAGTAAAAATTCGCCCACAATATAGAGTAGAAAATCCCACCACAAGATCCTCAATCGATCGCACAAAGAATTGAGAGGAAGAAGACGAAGAGCAGAGAAAAATCGCCATATGGATGACTTGATGATAATAATCTGGAGCAGCGGTGTAAGTATCAATTGGCTAAGAACAAAACTCTCTATCCAACGGCTCAGATTTGATCTTAGACGGTTAGTTGGGATGGACAAAAAGAATTGGACCACGATTTCACATTTATAGGCTTTGATAATTTTAGGTGAAAAATTATGATAAATAGTAAAATTGAGGCAAAATCCTATAAAAGAGGATAAAATTAATAATTATTTTTCAAAAAAAGATCAATTATATTGAATATACTGAAATAAAAATACTAGACATTTTTATGTATGACAAAAAAAAAAAAAAAAAAAAAAAAGGTAAAAAGTTAAATAAATAAAAAAAAAGACAGTTACTCAAATTTGGATGTCACTAATTCAATTTCCATCACAAATTTGAAGTGAACCAAATCTGTTGTCCAAATAACACAAAAGTTCGTAAGAATATTCCAAAACAAAAACATTGAGTCTGTGTTTAACCCCCTATTTGTTTCACAACAATTGGACTTCTTACGAAGTGTCTACCATCAGACCATCTCAACTCTCCGAACACATACTCTTCCTTTCTCCCGCCATGTCTAGCCTTCAAACTTACCCTAAACTCTTTCTCCTCTCCCACACCCTTAAACTCGAGCTCGCTTGGCTCGATCGAAACCGATATCCCGGGCGGGCTACGGATACGCGCCTTGTAAGTGCTCGGCGCCGATCCCACGTCTTTAACCCGTCTCGTCACGATTGCGGTTCCATTGAGGTCCGGGACCGTGATTGACGGGTAGTTCAAGTCGACGAGACTAAAGGGCTCGTGCGGGCACGAGTACGGCCCGTTTGTGAAAAGCTTGATTTGCGTGTCGTTGTAGCCGAGGTTGCATAGGAAGCTCAAATAATCGATCAACGTTAAGTCGTAGACGAGGCCTGGGTCCATCGCACGGTTGGGTTGCACGTGCCCTCCCCCGTAGCTAAACGGCGTGGCTTTGGCGTAGGATGCGTTTGTCAACGGCTTCATCGTGTTGTCGCGCTTCCTCGCTGCAAAATATTGACAATATTACATTTTTTTCGTGGTAATAACTTGGGAAAAACTAGGGGCGGGCATGGTTCGGGTATTTGCAATATGCAGGTATTTGATATCCGAATTGAACCGAACAAATACCCGAAACCCCGAACCGTATCCGAACCGAAAATTTCAGTTAACCGAAAATATTTGCAAATAATTCGAACCGAACTAAAATTTAAAAAAATATATATTAAAAATAATTAAAATTTTAATTAAATAAAAATATTTGCACATATTTCAAATATGCGAACCGAAACTGAATTGAATATGATTACTAATATAAATTTTAAAATATAATAATTTAAATATATAAATATATTCGGTTCGGTTAACCGAATAAATATCAAATATGCAGTATTTGCATTCGAACCGAATTTGCTCGGTTAACCAAAAATTCGGTTCGATTTAGTTCGGTTCAGCGGTTCAGTTCGGTTTTTTGCCCACCTATGGGATAAACTAAATTTACAATGTTAGTTATTTTGAATCAGGTATCTGAACATTGTTGATGTTATAATAACATGAGAAATTACGCTAAAAGTACTGTTTTTAATCTATTTATTTACCCGTTGTGACGATCGCGGACTTGATAGCCGCGGGGCTCCAATGCGGGTGGAGGGTTTTCAAGAGGGCGGCGACACCGGCGACGTGTGGACAAGACATCGACGTGCCGGATACCGAGTTGAAGTGGACACGGCGTAGGTCGAAGTCTTGATTTGTCGGGCCTTGCGCTTCTGTGTACGCTGCAATAATGCTCACTCCCGGCGCTGTGATATCGGGCTGAAATTGTAATAGATAATCTCGATGAGAAAACACCCGAAAATCGATCAAGGCAATGTAATAAATGTCGAATAATTTTAAGACCTTGAGAATTTCTGGAGTAACTTTGTTAGGCCCTTTCGACGAGAATGCTGCCATGAATGGAGCCGGCTTTGTGCCCAAGAGAGTTTCCGGTCGAGTAATGTAGCCCATTGGATTCCTGCCGGTGTATGAGAAGACAATCAATCGATACGCAAACAAGGATTGTATGTACTATGTTATTACCTCGTCGAGTTGATGTAAGAAAACATAGCGATTCCATCGGTGTAATTGATATGCGACGCTGGGAGGAGGTGAGGATCTGCGATGATTTCGTTCCCGGATGCCTCGTTGTTGGCTAAGACCATTCCTACGGCTCCGGCTAGCACAGCCTGCTCGCCTTTGTCGACTCTTGCATTGTCCCCGCGAAGACACACCAAGATCTTCCCCTTCACTTTCTTAGGATCCAAAGTTCCGGGCTTACAAAGTACCCTGCATTCGTACAATGTTAGATCAAGACAACAGCTTGTCCGAACGAAGAGAATGTACGGCGATGCTTATATATTATATAACATACGCTTCGTCGGCTGATGCATTAGCGGCTTTGGCGTCTCTAGCCGATACCAAGCCGAAGAACTTCCCTTTCGACAACACTTTCACGCTAAGGCTTTCACCCTGTTTAAAAAGGGCGTCACATTTTCAAAACTATTCAAACACGACACTTTCGATGTTTTCACTAAGAAAAACTCAAATATATTGGAAAAATTGTAAATTTAGTAATGTACATTTTAATCATATATGTTTCAAACGGCTGTATTTTTAGCATTTCCACTAAGGAAAACTCAAATAAATCGGAAAAATTGTAAATTTAGTCATATATTTTTACTTAATTATCATTTTTGTCATATATGTTTCAAATGGTTGTATTTTCGGTGTTTTCATTAAGAAAATCTTGAATATATCGAAAAAATTGTAAATTTAGTCATATACCTATAGTTAATTATCATTTTTGTCATATATGTTTCAAACAACTATATTTTTTGTGTTTTCACTAAAGAAAACTCGAATATATCAGAAAAATTGTAAATTTAGTTATGTATCTATAGTCAATTATTATTTTAATCATATATGTTTCAAACGGTTGTATTTTCAGTGTTTTCACTTAGAAAAACTCGAATATATCGAAAAAATTGTAAATTTAGTCATGTATCTATAGTCAATTATCATTTTTGTCATATATGTTTCAAACGACTGTATTTTCTCAAAATACAGCCAAAGAGACACACAAGAGAAAAACGATATAATTGGCCGTAACTACAAAACTAAATTTACAAATTTTTTTCCGCTAGTTAAAAGGGAATAGAATTCGACTAACCTTGAAGTTAACATTGTTTCTCAACACAACGATGCTCGGAAATTGCCGGTCAATGGTGCTCGCCCCGACCGTGATTTGCCAAGGCGCGACATTCGACACGGTACCATCTCCCGGTCCCGAGTTCCCGGCGGAACAAACAACTACGATCCCATGCTTCACGGCATGGAACGACCCGATGGCAACGCTATCATTATAAAACGGCGCGGAATCTCCTCCAAGAGAAACCGAGAGGACATCGACGCCGTCATGGATAGCTAAGTCGAAGGCAGCCAATATGTCGGCATCGAAACACTCGTTACCATTCACGGGAGGCCAGCACACCTTGTAGGCCGCCACCCGGGATCTCGGGGATCCGCCTTTAGCCGTTCCATTCCCAAACCCAAAGACATTTGCCCCGGGCACAAAATTCCCACCCGCCGTCGACAATGTGTGCGACCCGTGGCCTTCGGTGTCCCGTGGCGTGTGGAAAGATGTCGAATTTAGATCCCCGACGACGGCTCGGTATCCCTTGTTTAAGTATCGAGCTCCGATAAGCTTCCTAAACATAATCATTTTAAGATACATGATATACGACGACGGTTAGAATACTAATAAAAATTCAGTAGTAAGTAAATGAAATATAAACTTATTATATAGAATAGCATGTTAATATAATACTAATACAATATATAAATTAAAAATAAATAAATAATAATAATAATAAGTAAGACTGACTTGTTGCAATGAAAGGTAGGATCCAAGTCGTTTTGGCAAATGCCTTTCCATTTTGTCGGGACGGGTCCCATTTCTTCGTCACTGAAGCTTTTTGACTCCGGCCATACGCCTGATTCATTTAATTATGTAATATATATACACAAATTAATTAAAAGGAAATTAAGGACACGATAAATTTTAGGGTGCGTTTCTTTTGGATCGAAAAAAAAAAAAAAAAAAATGTTTGAATTTGATATTAAAATAATATTTAATAAAATATTTGTGAGATAAAAAAATATACTTCTTTTGTCTCATTGAAAGGTTACTATTTTCTATTTTCGTCCGTCTCAAAACAAGTTATCATTTTCTAATTTAATAATTGTACTACCTATCTAACATAATAAATACCCTTTCAACTTACATTATATTACACAAATGTCATTACTTTTATATTACATCATATATTTTTGTCTTTTTACTACAATCCAATATTCAAAAATTTACTTGTAAAAAGCAAATACTACCTTTCCAATGAGACGGAGGGAGTATATTTTTTTCGAGGGACGCAGAGAGATCATATAATAAAAAATTTGGAATTTTGGAATAAAGAAACTAACCCTTAGTGTATTGATAAATAATAATTGTTTTTTTTTTCTTAGTTCCGTAAAAAATAGAATTAATTGTGTGAAGTAAACTCATGACTACGAGGTCTTGCTTTTATGGCCTAATTTATAGACCATTAAATTTGATTGGAACTTATTTGAAGTCCGAAGTTGAAATAATAATAATAATTTTTTTAACAATGCTAAATATTTATTCTCTTATAAAATAATATATTACTTAAGCATTTAATTTTTTACTTATTTTAAAAAAAATTTAAAACCTTATAAACAGAACTTAAGTAACCAAAATTACTAACTTCAAAAAATAAAAAATAAAAAATTCTATTACTTTTTCTTTAAATAAATACCACACATGGCATGGTTATTTTTTAATTGAAAATAATATATAAAATATTCTTAGATATATATATATATATATATATAATGAAAACAAAATGTATCAAGATTTTTGCGTGAGTTGAAAAAAGAAGTGTATTTATTTTGTGAGATTGTTGAAAATAATTTTTTATTATATAAAGTATATAAAATTGTGTAGAAAATATAAAAATAATGAATATATATTGTATTAATTTATTTTTTTAAATCATGGAAAAAAAGAACCTAAAAAGAACAAAGCCATATTTTAGAAAGTATAAACCTAAAAAAAATTATAATAGTAATGAATTGTTTTTTAGAAAGAACAAACCTAAAAAACACTATTACATAAAGGTATATTTTTTCTTTAAAAAATTATATTTTAGTACTTTTAGAATTAAAATATTAAATTAAATACATATTTATATAAACTAAAATTTTATTTTATAACGTAAGTATATGCTTTGGAATGGGTCTAAATTCCCACGTTATAAATAATAATAATAATATTAATACAAATCTTATTTATTTTATTATTTCCAAAGTCAAATAAATTAAACTATAGTGTGTACTCTTTTCACTTTTTTTTTTTTTATCTCATATAATTTATCTATTTTTTTTTTAGAAATACGATAATACACTTTAATCAAATTTTAAATTTTATAATTAATATTTTTTAATTTTAATTAAACTATATAGTCATCTTAATCTTAATTTATAATTATTTACATTATACTATAATTATTTTTAGTAATATACTTTTAATTACATACTAATTACATTTTACTTAAATTCTTATATCTACATTAACGTGGGCAACTTCATCGGAACAAATGGAGTATATTTTATACGATTCTCATATCTTATATAATTAAATATTTCAAACTAAAATACTAAATATTTTAATATTGGAGTAATCAAATACTACAGGTGTGCTCTGTATACAATATTTGTTATTATTTTTAATTTGAAAACTTACACAATATCCGAAACACTTACAATTTTTTCTTAACATCAATTTTCTTTTACAATTCTAATACTATAATCTATAGATTTATTTCAAAATAATAACAATAATAAATTTATAATTTATAGATTCATTTCCGTCTCTAAAGTAACATAGGACAAAATATCCGGGACGGATGGAGTAGTTTCTAAAATACCATATCAACAAAAATAAAGACAAGCAAACAAATTAGCAGAAAGGAATATATTCAAAAGTGTAGCAATAAAACAAAGGAAGATTCAAATCAAGACTAAAAACAAGCCTTAATATGACAAGGTCAACCCTCAGATTTGTTGTTATTATAAACATTAAATACTGCTCCCATTTAATTCGTAATTTTAAATTCAATTTTAATTTTTATTATTGCACACCCAATGCCTCATTGGAATGCATAATAATAATAATAATAATAATAATAATAATAATAATAATAATAATAATAATCCATTTTGGTTCTACTTAATTTCTCCATTTTTTTCAGATCCGTGTGTTTTTTTTTAAAAAAAATAAAATATAATTATACAATATTTTGAAATTCATAGTTTATAATTATTTTTATTTTAATTAAATTATTTAGTTATTTTAATTTTAATTTATAATTATTTGTTAATTATATAATACCTAAAACTCTGTAACCGACAAATTAGCTTCATGGGAAAGAATAATAATAATAATAATAATAATAATAATAGTAATATAAAAGTATCCATTTTTAGCTCAATTGTTTGTCACGACCTAATGTGATAGAGCACTAGAGACAAGCATCCCCACATCAACATGTCAATAATGGAGGTGCAACTTTCACACACAAATGATGATCATCACAAACAATTCAGACACAAACATCAATTTTATTTACTTATTTATTTATAATTAATTAATTAAAGATGAGTTTTCATTAATTTAATTTGAGAAGATGAAACCAGAAGCTTACCAGTATCAAGATTCCCAATAATGGTGTCTTCCCCAAATCTGGACTTCTTCCACAGAGAGCTGCCATGGATTACTCCATTCCTCTCCAGCCCCAGAAAATCCCAAGACCTCGTCGTGTGCAATTTTCTTCCCTGGTTCTCGAACACAGACACAACCTTGGGATGCCCTAAAAATATATATATATAATTAAAGAAAAGAAAATAAATAAATTTAAATAAATAAATAAGAATGACTTACTGGATATTTGAACAGCTTCATCATCTTCAAGAATTGCAGCAAACCCATTAATATGTCTGGTGTAGGAATAGAAGATTGCATCTTTGGCTCTCTCAGAGCTGTGTAGAAATTTAAATTACTCAAGAACACAAATTGGTGATACATTTAAAATAAAATGAACAATAAAAAGATATATATAAATAACCTTCCCAAGAAGGATCCAAGAAACTGATAATGGGAGTCTGCAACTTTGTCATAATCAATGGAGGTCAGAGCTTGATCTCCATGGGAATGAGATCCTAAGTACACCACAAAAGACTGTTGAAGAAAGAAAGAAGAGATTTAGAAAAGGCAACAAGAATATACTTATATATATATATTGTTATTAGGGATCAGAAGAATGTATTGCAAGTTAGTGTACAGTGTGTAATGTAGTGTAGTGTAGTGATTGATCATTGGAGACTATAGAATTAAATTAAATTAAATTAAATTAAATTGAATGGTTACCTTTTTGGCAGCAAATGAGGGAGTGGGACTAAGCAATAATGATAATGATAATGTGAGGAAGACATAAAATGAGAACAAGTGAAGGGTAGCTTTATTCATTGCCATTGCCATTGCCATTGCCATTTGCTTTCTTCCTTTGAAGCTAAGCTAAAGATAAAGCATTTTCCATTCACTATTCATATGATGACAAAATAATAATAATAATAATAATAATAATACAGATAGAAAGAGCCATTCTCTTGAGGGGTATTTAAAACCTTCTTTTGGGGGTGGGGTGGGGGTGGGGGTACTGTTATTTTTATTTATTTATTATTATTAAATTATTTATTTATTTCTATAGTGTGGTGTTGACCTTTCAATGTGTGTATAGTTACTATTGAAAATTGAGTATGGTGGAGTAGTGTATATATGCATATAAAGGGTGTGGAAAGTAGATTTTAAAATTTAGGGTTGAAGCTATCAAAAATTTGAATGTGATGTGTGTTTGATGTAAAATTTGGAATGAAATACTCCCTCTCCCTTAACAATTTATTTAGATTTTTTATTTTGATTTGTTTCGTAACAAAGTATTCATTTTTTTTTTTAGTAATTGTACTATCTACCCAACGTTACAAATACTTTTCAAATTTATAATATATTACACAAATGTAATTACCTTTGTATCATACAATACTAATAGGGTTAATTTAGTTTTTTTACTTTTATTTCTACTTTATCCCAATATAATATTAATATTTCTAAAACTTCGTACAAAAAATAAATGAATATATAGATATGAGACAGATGGAGTATTAATTTTTAATTTTTTTTAAAAGTTAATATTTTAAAATTTTGTAGAAAAAATATACATATATATATATATGTATCAATAATGGAATCCAAGCTAGAGCCATCCAAACACATGCCTTTGACTTGACAACTATACATATATGATTTTATTTTTATTTCGATCTATTTTGTAGTATTTAAATAGTTTATTTTAGGTATTGGGAGGAGTTAACTGGAAGTAATATGGAGTCACAATTCCCAATATGCATTACACATCATCGAGAGAAGAGGAAAGATTGACTATCGTGTTACGTGGGACTGATTTGTTTTTGGGATCAAATCTTGAATCCAAAATAATTCCTCATTTTAGAAACTATGGTCTTATTTGAGTTGGACACGAATTTAAGAAATATAAATATTATATTGACAGTTGATAAAAAGTATTAGTAAAAGATTTTTTTGCCATTGTGAGTGTATTAGTGTAAAAAGTAGTGACATTCGTGTAATAATAATGAAAATGTATAAATAATTTTATGATGATATGAGTATTTATGGAAATAAAACTATTGATTTGAGATGAACAAAAATGATAAATAAAAGTATTATATTGGGGCGGATGGAGTATAATTATATATATATATATATATTTGAATATTTCTAAGAGATAAGCCGGGATTCGTTCACCATCATTTTTAGATTAGATAATTTTTTGGTATGCAATGAATAATATAGGATTTTGAATTTGGTGGGTAATAATTAATATTTTTTTTCGTCCCACTTTAAATGGCCTCTTTGGGGTTTTATAATAGTTTAAAAAATAATAGTATTTGGGTAAGATATTTTGACATTTTTGCCTTTTGATTTTATGTATAAAATAATTGTATGTATAATGGTATATTTGTAATTTATATAACAGTTAAGGGTATTTTTGTATTAGTGTATAATTATTTTTACTAAAATATGAAATTGTTACTTTAGAGTAAGACGAACGAAAATTTAAAAAAAAAAAAAAGTACTTTGAGTTGGGACGGAAGAAGTATAATTAAATAAATAAACTAAAACTTATATTAAAAAATTTAAAAAATTAAATTTACAATCACTTATACATCAAAATAACTACGAGTATTTACGAAGAGATTTCAGATTTTGGTATCGATTGATAATAACATTTATACTAACTTTCGTAAACGCATATCTTTCTAAAAGAGTAACTAAACAATAATTTAATAATTGATATGAAATAAGTATAAAACTAATAAATTGACGTCGATGTGTATTTGCAATTTTAGTAATAATTATTATTTTTTTTTTTTGGGTACGTCAATTGACCCGCCTTGCCTAATATTGGAATTGTAATAGGTGAATTTGTATTAAAAATATAAAATTTTAGATTGAATATTTAATTTTTTGTAATAATTTATTAATCTTTTATAATGAGTATTTTTTTAAAAAAAATTATAAATTTTTTTTTTTTTGTTATTATTTTTTAGAAAGCGAAATTAAAAAATAATGTTGGGAAATCATAAAGGATGTGATTGATTGATTGATTGTATGGTAAAAAATGTGACATGCAAAATCCGAAAATGATACTCCCTCTATCCCACATAATTTGTCTCTATTTTTTATTTTCGTCCGTCCCACTTAACTTGTCATTTCTATTTTTGGAAATATAATTATACACTTTAATCGCATTTTAAATTTTAAATTTTATAATTTTCTTAATTTTAATTAAACTATTTACTTATCTTAATCTTAATCTATAATTATTTTTACTAAATAATAATTATTTTTACTAATACATTTCTTAATTAATTACTAATTATATTTTACCTAAATTCTCGTATCTATAATAATATTCTCATATTTTCCGGGGACGGAGGGAGTAGAATTGTTTATTGCTTTACTTTACCGTAGGAATTGAGTGTTGAATTTTTTATTTCAGCCCATGTGCTGATTATTTTAAAATTAATTATCTTAATTATGTTTATTATATAATTAAATAAAATAATCAATTTAAATGTTTTCTAACTTATTTAGTTTGCACTATAAAAAAATATTATATTTGTAACGGAATTCCGTTCTTAAAGTTTACGTAGCTAACGTAATTTCATCCCTAATTTCATCTCTAATATCATTTGTAACGGAAAAAATGAATTTAAGAATGAAAAAATCTTGTTACAAAATTGATATTTTTTTGTAATGCTGGGTGCTGAATATTTATGTCAGCACCCAATCCCCTTAATTTGTGGGAAGTGAGCCAGAGTGGTGTTCTATTTTCTATATTTGGAGTGATTGTTCATTTTCTACTTGAATTTAGGATATGAGAATATTAAAATTTTGAATAAAAATAGTTAATATGATATTTGAAATTTTAAAATATAATAAGCTACACCTTGAAATAGAATCAATTACACAATAAGATAAAATTAAGACTAAAAGTAACTTTTTAAAAATGATATAATAGTGTGAAGGTGAAGTTATGACTATAAGATTATGAATTCAAATCTCTGAAATTTTCAAAGAATCACTAAGTGAAGCTTTGTGAAAATTTTAACAATGAAAATCAAGTTCTCAACTTAACTAAAATAATAATAATAATAATATTATTATTAAACAACATTCGATATAAATAAAAATAAATTTACATTTATGACTGAAACATGAGATTATGATTTTATTCATTTTATATTTCTAAATAACATGATTCTCTCATAACTATATAAAAAAAACTATAATATATATCACTAAAAAAAATAGTATATTTGTAACGGAATTCCGTTGCTAAAGTTCACGTAGCTAACGTAATTTTATCTCTAATTCCGTCTCTAATATCATTAGTAACGGAAAAAGTGAATTTAGTAACGAAAAAATCAAGTTACAAAATTGATAATTTCTTGTAGTGTATACATATTAATAATAATATATATAATATAGATATTTTACCATTTATAAAAAAAAAAGAAAAAAAAAATTTAAATAAAATATTATTTTTATATTAAAGACATAATTTTCTATATCTAATAAGTTCAGGTAGTTCGTTATATTATAACTCTATCCCAAACTTCCTTGTTGAACCGTTTTTTTGGATCTTTATTTTTCATTTTTGGTGCATCTTTTATATATATATATATATATATATATGGGTTGAAACCAGATATTTGAACTAATAATAATACAATTATTTATACTTAAGATTCTTGTAAGATTCTTAGGTCTGTTTTTCTAGACCAGGTTTGAAAAAACTAATGTCTAAGGATTGTCTAAGGCGATGGGAGTCAACCAATTTGACGGGAACTCGAACTGAGGAGCTTGCAGTGCGCGGATCGTCGGCCCGTACCCGAAAGTGTGTAAGGTTGTAAGCCATCGACTAACCAAGGTATGCCTCTACTCGAACATTCTTTTTGCTGTCCAAGACAAAATAGGCTTGATTTGCATTTTTTATATTTAAAAAATCCCGATCTAGAACGATTACGGTTAACACCGTAGGCATCGGCGATTGAATGTTAAATCTGCAGCGAAGAATGTTGGTAGATGTAAAGGGTTGTTGTCGAAATTTGTTAGAACTACTTTATGACGATTTGAATAGGGTTTACGGTAAAACTTTTAGAGCGCGCACAAACCTGAAGTTCGGGATTTACACGGCGGCATAATGGTCGAGGGTGTGAGTCAACTCATTTTAATGGCAAATTCAATGCATTCAAAAATATTCTTACTAGATTGTTTTCCTCGTGGGGGAGGGTGGTTTGTAATGATTACAATGCCTTCTTTGCTTTTGGGAGACAGTGCGTTGGGGGGTAAGCTATATCTTAGCAGCCGAATTTTTATTTCTCAGCCTATACGACTTATGTGATTTTCGCTGCGGTGAAAAGTTTAAGAGTATGGGATAAAGTAAAGTATGTCATATGCTTCTTCCGAGTCTTGTCTGTAGTGACTTGTTTTTTATTAAAGTTGGTTTAAAATTGTGTTGCCAACGTTGCCCAATCTCGGGGTTAACAGAAGCCCCAATTAGTCTCCAACCAAGCAATTTATGGTGTCAAAGGTAGTTGTGTGTACTAACTTGGTGACGATATAAAGGATATCAAACTCTGCTTCGCGGTTGCATTTGAATATTGTGGGTTAATTGATATTGCAACCACCGTCTTGATATTTCCTATGACTTAGCTAAATATATGTCCCGTTTGTGTTCTTACCGAAATGTTGATAATGGAGTATCAGCTTGTTCATATGCAGGCACGGTGTTCTTACCGGAGTTGGGTTGGTGCTAGGCCAACTCCCATGAATTGGCCGGTGTCAAGCCATCCGAGGTTGAATATAGGTTAAATGGATTGAATAAACTACTTATGTCAACAATGTTCATATTCTTTTTCGGAAGCCCTACTGAAAGAACTCTAGAGTTAAGCGTGCTTGCCCTAGAGTAATTTGAGGATGGGAACTCTAGAGTTACGCGTGTTTGCCCTAGAGTAATTTGAGAATGGGTGACCCCCTCTTGGAAGTCTTCTAGAGTATGCGTGAGTGAGGACAAAAGCGCAATCGAATGACTCGTGTTAACCAGTGGGGCCAGTCTACGATCCCGACACGTCTGGCTTTGCGTGGCTTGCAAGCTGGGTGTCACACGCGGATTGACGAGAGACTCTGTGTCATTGAGTCTAGAATGGGCAAACCCCCAAGTGCAGATAATCAACCCCCCCTTCCTGTTGACTGGCTATGTCAAAACAAGGGCATGGGATTTGCGAATTTCATCTTCTTACAACCATTCATTATTGAGGTTATTGTAGAGTACATTTACCTTATGTTGTCTCATCGTCATTCTAACATTTCATCATTCCAATAATTGTAAGCGAAAATATGCTTCCGTTCGAGGAACGACACCCAATGGGTCATGAACACCACCGGCACATTGAATTTATCAACTTGAACAGTATACAGATTGTATGGGTGCAACATCGGCCCGCAAGTTTGGGATCAGATACGTATGCAATTCCTTAAGAAAACCGGTTGTACATTTGAGTTGGAGCCACTGAAGGAGAAGTTCAAGCGGATTAAAGTATTGTATTTTGTTTTACGTGACCTCGTTGTTCTCGAGATAGGCTTTCGTTGGAATTCGACCACGTGACTCATTGATGCACCTGACGAGGAGAAAGCATCATGGTTAACGGTAAGCGCCGAGTTCAATAATCCATGTTTTTTTTATTGTTTCTACCTATCACAAAGATGAACCCATGTCTGCTACAGACACACCCCCGACACAACCATCTACTGATGCAGTCAGTCGCCCACTATGACCACCATCACGAGATGTGGGGATCTGCGAAGAGTTCTGGCTGACGGGTCATTGCATCTCCGTCCCGGGGACGGCGTTCATTCTGTGCCTACGATCTTTTGTTGTTCACAAACCACGTGTCATTCTCTTACTTCTGCATTCCTTCATTCCAGTCCCGAGTTACGTACGATATTTCTTCTTTTCACAGGTTGTTATCATCTCTTAATTCGTTGTACATGCATTTCTTCGTTACAAAATAATATTGTGACGCTTTCCTTTACACCGTAGCTCGTGTGCAGTTTCGAGTGGTATGTCGTAAAATTACATGAGACGACGACGGCCTAGAAAGAGCAACACAATGGAGATATTGAACTATTTGTATGTAGTTACGATGATCATGCGAAAATTTTTGTTCCAATTCACTGAAGCCCTTAGGCCATCTTCAACCCATCATCTCCATTTATCCAGTTTTAACTCCAAATATGCAGTTGCTACAGTAATTTTACTTCAACCATAACTCTATTTTTTACTATTATTCTTCAAATATTCAAATTTTCCTATTATTTTAAACAATTTTTTATTTTTATAATTTAAAATAAAATTTTAAAAAAATTTTAAAAATAAAAATTAAATTTATAATTTAAAGAAAAAATAGCGTTTACTACAGTGCAACACAAAAAATCTGTAGCAAACTCTAAATTTGGTATTGGGAATGGCACTGTATTGGAGCAGCTCGGCGGCAAAAATAGTGTTGAAACATCAGATATGGAGCATGGTTGGAGATGCTCTTGCTTCGGCCGTATGCAACTGCTTCTCCACTCCAATAAATATTCGTAATTCCTATACGTATTTATGTCATTTAAAATAATGTGTTTTAAAAATAATTACTTTGGTTGGTAAAAATTATAAATTGCCTTGATTCTTTTGTTATATTATTGGTAAATAAAACAATAATCCAAAATATTCAAAAAAATATCTTTTCTCATTTTCTTAAAAAAAAATAATAACAAAAATATCCATGCAATATTCCTTTCAACTTACACAATTATTACCAATTAAATCAATTTATATCAAAACACTATAAACCCAAACCATACATATATATTTAAAGAAACAACAAAAATCAAACACACTCGAAAATTCAAATATAAACCAAATTCAAACCTAACATTTTCAAATCTTGTCGAAAAATTAATAAAATTAATCTATTATTTTTATTGAAAAAATAATATATTCAATAATTTTTTATAAAAAATATTATTTTCGTCATCCTCAAATTTATTTTTATTTTTTTTAGTCTATTCCTTAAATTTATTTCATTAATAATTGTGATGACAAAATTAACAAATTAATTTTTAATTACAAATTTTCATTCAATTCTTATTTAGAATAAATATCACTACTTTTATTGCATATTTTGTCTTTGTTCCTTTACTTTCTAATTAAATTTTTAAAAATATCTTCAATTATCCTTTTCTTTTTATGATTTTTCATGTCAAAACTCAAATGTTCGAAATTTACGTAATGAAAAAAAGTATATCATCAAATATATATATATATATATGTGGCATGTCCCAAAAATGTATATTCAACTTACCTATGCAAGTTAATTGACCACTAACAAACTAGAATTAGGTAAAATACACAATTTTCCTATGCAAGCATAGTATAGGTGACCAACTTTTTTTAGTGAAAAATAAAGATTCCGTTTAAACAAAAACTTTTGAAGATTTTTAAATATTAAAACTTTAGAGTTTTTAAATATTAAAACCATTGGAATTTAGTATTTGATGTGATATTTTGTGTACAAAAAATATATGTCCAAAGCGGTCTTTGGGGTTTCTACCGAACACAGAATTTCAACAATCTATTAATAAGGCTAAATTGCACAAAAATGCACAAAATTCACTTGTGGTTTCACGAAATTGCGTCAAATTTCCATACTTTTAAAACTGCGTCAAACTTCCTTATGGTTCATAAACTCTTGCGTCTAACCCTCTTGGCGGTCCTTATTTAATAATATTTAACCTAAATGCACCCAAACTGCGAATAAATTTTACAAACATATTTATTTTTTTCATATTTAACCTAAAAAAATTAAAAATAAACTCTTAAAACCTGAGAAAAATAACTATTATTTTAGTATATTTACTATTTTTCTAGACTAAACATAAAAAAAAAAATGAATATATTTATAATTTTAGGGGTTTAGAAATTGAGATTCTAAAATTTTTTCGACAGTTTGAGCGCATATAAGTCAAATACTGTTAAATAAGAATCGCCGATGGATTGGATGCATAGTTTATGAAATCACAAAAAAAAAATCTAACGCAATTTTAGAAATATAAAAGATTTGACGCAGAAGACATTAAGTTTGGGGTGATTTAGCCTATAACAAAATTTCAATGTCTTAGGGCCAAAAAGTGGAAATATATTTATTATTATTGTAGATTTCCCGAAAAGCTGTGGGCAGCAAAGAAAGATGACAATTGGTCTAAGTTATTTTATTTTTATTTATTTTTAAAAAAAAATGAAAAAATGAAAGATGACAATTGTGTTTAGTGAAATTTCCGCGTCATGAGGACCACTCTTACCATTTTATTTTATTTTATTTTCTTTTCTTTTCTAATGATATATTTATACGCAAGTTATAAGGGTCCGTTCTTTTGCAGTATTTTTATACTCCCTCCATCTCATATAATTTGTTCTTATTTTTTATTTTCATTCGATCCTATATAATTTATTTTTTCTATTTTTAGAAATATAATTATGCACTTTAATCGCATTTTAAATTTTAAATTTTATAATTTTTTTATTTTAATTAAACTATTTATTTATCTTAATCTTAATATATAATTATTTTTACTAATACACTTCTTAATTACTTACTTATTATATTTTACCTAAATTCTCGTGTCTACAGTAATACACCCATATTACATGAGACAGAGGGAGTATTAACTATTTATTAATCAATTTTTTCCCCCAAACTAGTGACACATTCAATTTCGTTTTTTATACTTTCCCCGTCGCATTTCAAATGGCTCGTTTGGAGTTTTATAGTAGATTTAAAAATAATATTTTCCCTGTCCCGGTGAAAGAGTGATGTTTGTTTTTTCACGTAAATTTTTAATATTAGTATTATAATGGATTGTAGTAAAAAGACAAAAATACCCCTATTAGTGTAGTATAATATAAAAGTAATAACATTTGTTTAATATATTGTAACTTGGAAGGGTATTTATTATGTTAGGTAAGTAGTACAATTACTAAATTAGAAAATGATAACCTTGTTTTGGGACGGATAAAAATAGAAAATGACAACTTTTCAATTGGACGAATGGAGTAATATTTTATTGATTAGTGAAAATGTATAAGAAATTTTGATATTTTTGCTATTTGATTTCATGTATAAATTAATTGTATATGTAATAACATGTTTGTAATTTATGTAAAAATTAGAGATATTTTGATATTAGTATATGATTAATTTTACTAAATATTAAAAAAAAAAATTTGGAGTAGGACCGAAAAAAATAGTAAAAATAATACTTTTATTGGGACGGATAGAGTATTAAATATTCTTTTAAATACTTTATCCATCATCAAAATGTATGCTCAAATATTTTATCACAAATTTTAATTAAAGTAATTAATAATTATTCTTTTTTATTTTATAGTAAAAATGTACAAAAAATATATATTGTTTTATTAAAAATAAAAAATATTTTTTTTATTAATTCAAAAAAATAAGTATAAATTTAGATAAAGAAAATATTATAGTTAAAATATATATATTAGTATAATAAAAAATATTTAAAATAGACTTCGTGGTGCATGTGCATGTATATGCAGAATTTGAGTTTTGAATAATAAAATTTTATATTCCAATAAATATTTGATATAATATAAATTAATATTAATATTATATTATAAAAATTTAATTACATTTTAATGTAATATACTAAAAATAAATAAATATTTAGTTTTTTTTTTTTAATTGAAGAGTTATAAATAGTAAAACGATTAAAAACTTCACAAACAAAAACATCCCCAGTTGTTTTAAGCAAATAATATTAAAAAAAACCTCCCCGATTATATATTTTATTAATTTTAATTTTTCTATGTCAACATATATTTTATATTATTACAAAAAATAATCTTATTCTAATGTTAATACACTTAATTAAATTTTAATGCAAAAATATCATCAATTTAATAAAAGCTCTTAGTATAAAATTATAAATATTGCTCTTGTAGTTACAAAATATAAAGTTGTCAATTTTTTTTTTTTTTTTTTAAAAAAAAAACTTACCATTCAAAATTAATAATTTTTAATAAAATATACAAAAATAAAAATAAATACTTTACACTCATTGGATTTGGAATGCTGAGAGTATATTTACCTTGATTAAATGCAACCTAAAAGAAAACAACAGTAAAGCCCAATAGCCCAATATAACTTTGGTCCAAATAGCAAAGCATATGTATGTATGTATATATATATATATATAATTTGATTAAAATAAAAAAGAATATGTATATACTACATATATATTGTATTTTTACTTCTTCTATATTTCAAATGAAAATCTTCTTAAAAACAATGATTGTATATAATTGTTTTAATTAAAAATATACTAAAAAATACAAAATTGTTATAAAAATATATAAAATAAATATAAATAAATAGAAAGATTCAATATGTATGAAATCGTATGCCATCAGATTCATCTCTTTTCATTTATGGTAATGGCTCAACTACATGGTACAAGGTAATTAATATATATATTGTTGATGTAATTTTTCAACAAAAATAAAGTAAAATTCAAAAATATAGAAAATATCCTTAAACTTGATTAATTAGTGCCTGAGATTAGGAATCTCTAAACACTGTAGTACAGAAAATAAACTGGAAAATAAAAGACTGAAATTTAAAGTGGTGATCCCCAAATCTGACTTTGCTTTGTTGAAGTTGATTGAAGATACCTTGCCAAATGATGATTCAAACCTTTAAATATTCTCTGGGAAACCGTACTGAAAACCGTCACCCGAACGGTTACAACGTCTCCTTCCCAACCGTCTTCCAACCCTTTTCATGCTGACACGTGTCCTCAGCAGACCAAAATTATCCTTATATTTCACTCTTTGAGCCGACCACAGACCTTCCGCTCTTTTGGCCCGACTTCGTCCTTCGCCCGACCTGCTTCTTCGCCCGACCTCACTTGGGCCGACCTCCGCATCAGCCGCCCTCCGTCTTCGACCGAAGACCTCCGCATCTGTCCGTACCTCTTCCTTGCCCGACCTTCCTCTTAACAGACCTCCGCGTCTGCCCGACTTCGGTCTGGATTTGGATCAATTCTTGAGATCTTAACTTTCTTCCTTTTCCCGACC